CCCTACCACACTGTAAAACAGGTAAGCAACTGGAATCTGTCCCACAATATGGTTTTCCACAACAGAAAGCTAGAATTCTGGCAACATTCGTTATGTTGTCTCAGAAAATGTGCTTAAAAAGTGTTTGACAGAAGAAAAAAAATGTCACTCCTGTCTCAACTTCTGAGTTCCACTCATTAATCACCAATTATAAGCTAGGAAATCTATGATTAAACTATGTTCAAAACTACTCCTGATCTTTCCTCTTCTCAAATTGGCTCCTACATTCATGTTCTTTAGTCTCAGAAACAAAATGTCACTATCCATATGGCTGCCCAGTTTTAGAATTCTCAATGTCCTTTTCTCTTACCACCAGCACCTACTTGGTCCCCAGTGCATCCTGGGCAGGAGCTATATGTTCCGTGTTCTTCTTCAACTCAGCATACCTTACCCAGAGCCCAGCACAGGACCTGGTACGTAACTGTTGCACAGTGAATGAATCACCATGAATACCAAATTCCCCTCGTGTCACCTGTAATCCCCACTCTGCTAAGCTTGCTAGGCTCCTTCAGTAGCTTCCTAACTGCCTGCAGGCTCTCCCCCATCTAATCTTTTACAGATCTTCACTGTTCTTTCTACAGCACACTTCTGATATATCTAAGACATGTAGCTCCCCACTGCCAGAGTCCTCTTTCAAGGCCCTTTATAATCCAGCCCCAAACCCCTTTTCATGTTTTATCTTTGACCAATCCATATACTTCTATGTTTCTGGACCTCTGTTCATGCTGTTTCCTCTGCTGAAAACTATTCTCATCTGTGCCCACAGGACTTTACTTCTACCATTACTAGAGTGCTCCTCACACCGTAGCACACTTCATGCCTGGGCTCCTGCTTCTGTCCTCCCCACCCAGCCGCCATCATCCTAGACTATGAGTTCCTTCAATGCAGGAGTCCTGTTCTATTTACCCCTATATCCAGGTTTGTATTCATACATGGTACAAAGCAGGCACCCAACTGACTTTTGGGTTTAAAAAGATGCCCATATTAACTGTAAATAGCCATGGAAGATTAAAAGCAAACCAAAAAAGACTAAAGCAGACTATGTTCTCGGTAATCCTTGAACATGAATAACAAAAACAAAGGCCAAGTACAATTACCTAAAGTAAGTATCCTATGAGACTTGAGGAGATGGCCATGGTGACTGAAAGAGATATGCCTTGCTTAAAATAACTACAAGAGTAATAATGACCAGTATGTATCGAGCACTTGATTCAATTAATATATGCTGGGATCCCCTGGGTGGCTCAGCGGTTTGGCGCCTGCCTTTGGCCCAGGGCACGATCCTGGAGTCCCGGGATCAAGTCCCATGTCGGGCTCCCGGCATGGAGCCTGCTTCTCCCTCCTCCTGTGTCTCTGCCTCTCTCTCTCTCTCTCTCTCTTTCTATCATAACTGAATAAATAAATCTTTTTTAAAAAATTAGTATATGCTAAGTAAGTTATATGCATTATCTATTGTGTTGGTCACAGCAGGCCTATAAACTAGGACTACCATTTTCCCTTTTATCCACAGAAGAGCAAAGCGACAAAAAAAAAAAAAACAAAGCAGGGCAAGTTAATGAAGCTGAGCAAAGGTCACTCAGCTGGTAAGTACAGCAGATACAGGCGGTCTGACTACACCGCCTTAACTGAAACTATCACAATAAACCACCTTTTCCCCAAATGGGCAGGTATAGCAGGAAGGCTACAGAATGTCATGGTGTAGCACTACACAAACAACACCCCGAGGTCCCAGAGCATAGCAGAGAGCAAATGAATGGATTAAAAAGAGACAAGGAAGAGAAATTTCATTATTGTGGCTGCATGATTTGGACAGCCAAAAAAGCTAAACACCATCCTATCACAGGCTGTGGGAACAGCAGAGGCAAACATAGTAGTGAGAGCAAGCTGCAATGCTGTCAAGGACTGCCAAAAGTCTCATACTCTAAAAAGTGAGCCTGTCAAATACCTGAGCAACTTTGCTGACAACTTCAACTCTCAGTAGCCAGGAAACAACTGGTGGAAATAATAAGAGGAGCAGATACTATGAATAATAAGTAAAGAAACATTGCTTGAACCAAGAGGAATATGTAAAGATGACCTGGCAGAGAGATGAACTGCGACTTATTTTCCTGTAGGATCATCAGACTGAGAATGAGAAAGAATAAAGAAGCAGAGGTATTTCTCCCTCACTCCTGATTCTATCCCAACCAGAACCTATCACATACCACAACTCCCAATGTGACTTAGATGCACCCTGAAAGGCCAAGAGTTAGCCACAGGGGTTCTGGAGAGCAGGGCCAATGGAAGTGGGAGGCAGTAGGAAGCACACAGCAGGCAGGAAGCAAAATGCCAACTCCACACACCTAAACTCACACTCCAGGTGTCCCTCTCATTAGCTGCATGACTTTAACATTTTACTTAACCTCTCAGTTTCACATTTCCTCACCTGTAAAGTCAGAATAGTACCACCTTCTTAGGGTAACAGTGAAATGAGACAACGATAAAAAGAACTGAGCTCAGGGCCTGGCACCCAGGGAGTAGCCAATAAACGCCAGGTGTTAATATGGTAATTATTACCCTGTAAGAGATTTCTCTGTAACTCATCAACTTTTCTACAATGATTTGCTTATTGTTACTCCCACCAAGTTTCAGGGCATATAATGCAAACCCGGACAGAAAAGTAAGTAAAGTGATCCTGCCCTCATTTTCATATCAATGTTTCGGGGCAATCCAACCAAACGACATTTAGAAAGCCCTAGAATGTCACTGTGCTGGGCTAGGCTGGATGGGGCCCAACAGGTGGTTTGAGTATAAGGTAACTCTGCCTTCAAAAACTGCACGGTCTCTTCCAGAAACACACTACCAGTAATTTCTCATGAGTTGTAGAGGTTAGGTTGCAAACCAGTTGGCAATGACAAGTAATCCCCAAAACAGCTACAAAAACATGTCTTTGGTGTTTGGGGATGTCTTTGGATTAACTGTCCAGTAATCTTTAAGAAATTGACTGACTCTTTGAGAATTATACAGGCAACAAGCAGTGGATCTCATATGGCCTGGTCTTTAAAGCCAGTCATTCTGGTTATATGCATGCATTAAGATGAAAACAAAAGGAAAAGGAAAAAAAAGGTAAATGAAGTATCTAAGCATGTGATACTAACATGCAGAAGATAGGGATAAATACGTGGGAGACTATCTCGTTCACCTCTAGTCAAGCAGTATTAGGGGAAGGTCAAATCAGAAGTGCAAGCCTGGCTTGAAAATATTGGAAAGATTTTTTCCAAAGTGAAAATAGTTTTGTTTTTTCTTATTATAAAAGTAAATATAGATTCAATGCTAAAAATATAAATATTAAAATATATAAAAGTGCAAAAAATAAAGATCACACATGAATCTCCCCATCCAGAGATCAAACCTTTATATGTTTCTCCTTGCAGACTTTTCTAAACATATACTTGCATCAATTACCTCTTTTTCAAAAATGGAGTAATAACACACATGCTGTTTGATCCTCTTTCTCCCATGCTTCTATGTATCATACTTATCTTTCCACCCAACATGGAACCTGAAAATCAGTCATAGGGCAGTTCTCCACAGGTATACTCCCTGACACCGTAACAACATGAAAATGGGAATGCAAGACACAAAACTTGGCCTAGGAGACCAGATTCCACATACCCACTCCAAGACCAGCTTGGACAAGTACAGTATCTCAGCACAGGCGGCTGCCCAAGTGGGAAGGGCAGAGGTTTTGCTCAGGGAGCCTGCCTGGTTGTGGACCTCGGATCTGCAGCACCATGCACATGCTGCAGCCTCTGCACTGCATACCCAACTCTGAAAGCTCTGCTGCCCAACCTCAGAGCCTTTCATGTAACTGCCAGCAGGAACGTGCAGAAGCCTTCAGTTCACATGGATCCTGCTGGGTGTACCTTTCTGCCCCTGTGCCCTAGACTCAGAGCTGCTGTGGGCGGCTCATTAAATCATTTTGTTCACCATATTACCTTCCCACAGCACTAATATAACAGGAATACGAATCTGTATCACTTCTCACAACTTTTAAAGAGTATAAAAGTAGCTCTGCCAAGAGTGGCCCAAAGGATAAATTTTATCTATGTTTCATTTTGCTTAAGGAATGTGGCATAGGGGCACCTGGGTGGTTCAGTCAGTTAAGCGTCTGCCTTTGGCTCAGGTCATGATCCCAGGGTTCTGGGATCAAGCCCCACATGAGGCTCCCTGCGCAGCAGGAGTCTGCTTCTCCCTCTCACTCTATGCATGCTCATTCTCTAATGAATAAATAAAAGTCTTAAAAAAAAAAATAGTGGCATAAAGGAGTGAGGACTATGTTACCAGACAGTTTGAACATAAAACCTAGAGCTAAGGAACTCCCATCTTTCCTTGACCACACTGCACTGTAAATACAAAATGCTGCTCAACTGTGGGTCGGCGAAGCCACACAGTCCAGCCCTCAGAGGGAGGGGTCAAGACATGCAGCCTGGGGCTCACGTAAGCCAAAACTAGAGGCCAGGCGGCCCAGGCAGAATGAGGGATTTCTATCATCAGAACCGGGCACCAAGCTCAGCAGCAGCCAACTATGAGCAACTGCAGCCAGCTAGTAAGCAGACCTGTGCAGGTCCAACACAGACTAAAAAAGGACAAGACGCACTGAAAAACCGGAGTTTATTTTCTGTGATATTTATTAGGAAATTACTAGTACTTGGTAACTTCCAGAATCTTATGAAAGTTACTGTGTTGAAAGTAACTGTGTGTCCACAATGTCTGTATATGTGCATCCAGGGACCGTGTGGAAAAATAAAAGGAAAATGTCATAGCCAAGCCTCTAACCTATGGAGGTAATGTCAAAGGTTGTTTAGAGGACCCCCTCCCCCCAAGTTCTGGATAAGACTAAAACAATAGAGAATGGGGCTTAGAAAGATAGAAAATGGTGGAACCAGACCCCCTGGGGCATGAACTATTTCATCCTTCCATGTATTTTTAGATCTTTATTGCTGATTCATAAATGCTACAAGTGAAATTTGTCCAAAAACAAAAGAGGGGAAGAAGATAGGTTAGTCTTGAAGCAGTTTAGGTCAGATACCAACCGCTGTTCAGCAACCCCTTCCAGTTGGGGCCTAAAGCTTAATATCCCACTGGGATCATTCATCTGTCACCGGTGATCCAGTATCTCTTCTGTACCACACATTTGGTAAGGTGCAGGCACACAGAGAAGACACAGTCCTTGCTGTCTAGTTTACAGAGCAAAAAGTAAGAAAACCATTATTCACAACCACGGGATAAATGCCTGACACACAGTGAAGTTCAACCACTACTCAGTGGCTGAACCAATACTATAAATAGAAGTGTGCACAAAAAACAAGGAAGTCTCCCAAAGGACACTTATCCCTTTGTCCTAAGACAGATGAACCTGGCAGTCCACTATTTCACACACTTGTACACAAAAACCATCCCTAAAAGATTAAACGATTAGCTGCACAGGTCTATGAGACCGAAAGGGGAGGGGCAGTAATAGTCAAGAGAACTATTATCACTCATTTATATAAAAGAATATTTTAATTCTTGACCTTAGGAACTATAAAGACTATACACGATTTGGAAATAAGACTGTACCAAACAATGGCCAAAGGAGAATCGTCCACTCTATGCCTTCTCTTTGGTCTGGTCACTCAGAAATATAATGTTATCTGTAAAGAAACCAAATCATAAATATTACTTTCAGAACTCTTTCTCCATCTCCTTTAATTGCTCGCCTACAATGCACCCATACGTTAGTGCTGTTAACAGGATTCTAGAAAAATTCCTAAATTGTGAAATAACTCCTGCTATGTTCATCATGAGAGGCATATATGACAGGCACCAAAGGAGCTAAAAGTTGGGCTTCAGCTATGTGTCAACAACTCAGACCTTGTTAGAAGTGTGGTATTTCTTGCCTTCCCTGAAGATAATTCTAATTGCTCAGCAATAACTTCCTACAAAAGAACTAGTCATAAATTTCAATGCCTGCCAGACTCTGATAGATGCCATGAAACCAGGCAGCACATCCTCACACAGAAGAGGATCCAGGCATAGCATTCCACTTACTTGAGGTACAGAGAAAGGATGGGGTCTAGTATATGGCACTATTAACAGAGACAGATTCATGTCTAAATAGGCTGTAACACTCACACAGAAGACATTCTATTTTTACATTTTAAAAGAGATTGAGATTTATATACTCATTCTTGGGAAAATTTTTACGAATCAGTATCACAGAGTATTTTCATACAAGGACATCAGACACTGCACTTAAAATGTTGTCCCAGATGGAGTTAGTTTAGGACGAACAAAGGAAAAGTAGTAGTACTTCCTGCATAACTTGAAAAAATCCAGATTCTTATAACTTTAGAATTATTCAAAAAGTGGGTATCACAATATTTATAACTATAGTCTTCTAAGTACATAGTATCTTGATACAGAATAGTTATTGCAGATTATTGCAACACCACAGTGTAAAAAGGCAACAGTGCCATCCACTGGTAGTTACTTTTATATTAAAGACAGGGACCCCTACAAGAAAAAAAAAAAAAAAGCAGTCAAGTTTAAACTGTTTCTTTCAATTCAAGTGTCACTAAAGATCTACTCATCTTTACTACTAGCCATAAATCTATGTTAACTAATCAATTAATTAACTCACCCATGCTGTGAATACAAGTGACAAGAAGAGAACAAAATGGCAGATAATCTGAACCATTTCTATTTACCCGTTGGCTTGGTTCAGAACAATCTATACAATGCAGTTTACTCACACTTTGGTTTATAGTGGAATGTCAAAGTGTTAAATGCTTCATAAATACATATTTGATAGACTTAGAAATGTCAGCTATTTTATTAGAAAGTCAGGTTTCCACTGCTAAAATCACAGGTGTAGATGTATGTCCTATAGAGATCTATAAATAAATTTTTGAACAGGTAGGTATCTCCGGAGACACGGCCCAAGGAAGAGCATGCAGAAGTGAAACACTGTCAAGACATCCAAAAATCATGAAATCAAAATAGCTGGGACCTCGTCTAAGGTCTGATAATGAGGGCAGAGAACTATGTTGGCTTCAAAGGTCAATATGCCTCAAAGAAACCAGTAAGAAAATATATTTTTTAATTATTATTTATGACAAGTTATAATTTAGCAATATGGTAGAGTGGTTAAGACATGAACTCCAGAGCGAGGTAAAAAGGAAAGATAAAAGGAAAATCTGTCAATTAAAAGAGACTTAAGTTCTCAGAGGTCTAGCCTCCACAACTATGAGAAAATAAATGTTTATTTAAAACAAAATAAGAGACTTAAGATACATATAAACAATGTAATATAACATATGGACTTGTACTTATAAAGCTATCAAAGAACCTTAAAACACTGTGATGCCTAGTAAAACTTTTTTAATGATTTCTTAAGATTAGGTGTGATAATAGCACCATAGTTATGCTTCAAATAGGAATCCGTATCTTTCAGAAATACCTACTGAAAATATTTATGGATGAAATAATATAATGTCTGGAATTCACTAGAAAATAATTCAAGTGGAGGAAAAGCGGGCTGTGGAAATAGAAGAAATAATATTGGCCATCAGTCTATAATTGTTGAAGCTAAATGACAGAAGATCTTTTTTTTTACTTCTATGTTTGCGTATGTCTGACATTTTCCATAATTAAAAAAATTTTTAAGATACCCAGTTTTGACATATCTCAGAAGTTCATAAACACTAAGACATTACTTGCTTTCATTTCTCTGTATTTACTTATAAAAAGTTTCTCAGTATTTATTTACATCCATAAAAAGAAAACAAAAGAATAAAATTAATGTTTAACTCTTATTTTTTAATAATTTACTGACGAGGTAAAAAAAATCATCTCTCTTACTAAAAGATGCATTTCCAGCAAGATTTCAGTTTTCAAATTTATGTATTAAAATTGCGTTAGTAGCTTATGTCCTAAAAACCACTATAATGATAACCCAATCAAGAAGAAATATATCATTTATAGGCTTCGTATCACAGAATTTAAGTATTTTTAAATTTCTGTTTATGTATGAGTTTTTGTTAAGAATGTAATAGGATGAGTAATAAAATATTTTTATCCATACAATATATATCAAGATGTATTTCTTAGGAGAAAATGGAAAAACAAGTTCAGAGAAAAAGAAAGAACATAAAATTTCCAAATGTTGAAGAGCTCGTTCATGTACTTTTTTGAAGGATGACGGGATCAAATTGCTATGGTTTTTACACCCATTACGCATTTCAGAGTAACAATTTCATATTGAAAAAAATGTTCATGTCGACTTAGACATGTACAAAGGGCTACGTTTGTTTCAAAATTCTTGTAGAGTTTTTTTTAAAAGTTTGAAAACCCTGCTCTAGGAGAGATCTACTTAGTCTTCTTTAAGCTTTGTGTCCCTATTTTCTACATTGTTTTGCATTTTGTCTAACGAAAACAACAGGAACTTAAAATCATCATGTTAAGACCAAGCAGGCTGTGAATAAGCCTGCATAAACGTCTAAAGCCACTCACAGCAGCCAGCGCAACTCTATCTCGGCACAGGCTTCTGCCTATGTAGGCCATGTCCTCAAAGACATTAGTTTCTCTCACTTCAAACAGTTAAGTACTGACACAGACGCTTTACTCCAAAGTTACCTGTGAAATGAAACTGTGTATAGAGATAATTTTCTGAAGGGGCAGGCAAATGCAGAAACTCCTAGCAAACTCACAAACCAGACTCCCGCTTCTCATGGTGAGCTGCCTGACAATCTCAGCAGCAGCACTCAAAGCCCCCATGAAAGTCACTTACAAGCCAAGGGTTTAAAACAAGGGGGATGGGAGGAGGGAATAGTATTATCACAAGCTTCTTACCAGCTATGATTGTTGTTGCTTGTCGCCTCACATTATTTTTGTCTGTGTATTCACCATAGTCTACTTTCCCTTCTACATAAATTCGGGACCTAATAAAAATAAAATTTACAGTTTTCAGTCTGGAGATTCCAATCTGTTTTATAAGAAAGAGGAGGATGAAACACAGAATCAGGGATGCCTGGGTGGCTCAGCAGTTGAGCCTCTGCCTTTGGCTCAGGTCGTGATCCCAGATTCCCGGGTTCGAGTCCCACATCAGGCTCCTTGTGGGGAGCCTGCTTCTCCCTCTACCTGTGCCTCTGCTGCTCTGTGTCTCATGAATAAATAAATAAAATCTTAAAAAGAAACACAGAATCATGCATAACCTCATTTTTGCTACCACATCTCAAAGTTCAACATTAGGAGTACTGAGAGTACTGAAACACAAGGTTTCAGACACACAGACTCGACACATCCAGGTAAAAAAAGACAATGTTCTCAGCCTTCAGCTGACAGTCCTTATTGAAATTTTTTTTTTAAGATTTATTTATTCATGAGAAACATACAGAGAGGCAGAGACACAGGCAGAGGGAGAAGCAGGCTCCCCACAAGGAGTTTCATGTGGGACTCAATCCCAGACCCCAGGATCACACCCTGAGCTGAAGGCAGACGCTCAACCGCTGAGCCACCTGGGCGTCCCAGAATTTTAATTTTAAAGTGACTTTAAGACCATGAAACGGGGGGATCCCTGGGTGGCACAGCGGTTTAGCGCCTGCCTTTGGCCCAGGGCGCGATCCTGGAGACCCGGGATCGAATCCCACCCACATCGGGCTCCCGGTGCATGGAGCCTGCTTCTCCCTCTGCCTATGTCTCTGCCTCTCTCTCTCTCTATCATAAATAAATAAAAATTAAAAAAAAAAAAAGACCATGAAACGGAAGAGCAACACGTGGCATCCTTTAAATCTCTAGCATTGATTCCCAACATGTCATTGTCTCCCACTTTTCATTTTGGACTCCCTAAAGGATTTACCTATTTTCGTTTATTTTTCAATTCCTTTCCACAATCAAGTTCATGAACCTACTTCAGGAAGAACTGGCACGATTAGCAAGGGTTTAACATAGAATATGCAGCAGGCCTTGTATCTTAAGAGTCCAAATTGAAAAGGATATGCCATAAAAACATAAGGGACTTTCAACTGTAACTTAACTTTGACAAAGGTAATATTTTTACTAATATTCTCAAGGGACTTAGATTAATAAAATCAAAACAGAGGTTTTCAGCTTAGCATTTCACTTGGAGTTAATTACTAAGCCCCTTCTGCACTGTTTAGAAGGCTGAACCCCAAGACAACCGTAACTGATTTTAAAGGGCAGAAAATGCATGCTGGCATCAATTTTCAGAGTCCAAAAAAATAAGTAAAATATAGAAAGTGGACAAAACTGGTAAAATGACTGAGTACCAAAGGGAACACACACAGATTCATCAATTGTGGCTGAAATTGCATACAGGTAATTTCCTGTATTTATATGTGGGTGTAAATGTGCAAATTCACACGTACATAAAGGACTATGGAAGTACATATAAAAAAAGTCACGCAGCTATTAAAAAGAAATAAATTTTATTTATTCCTAAAATTGTATTTTGGAGAATATAGTTCATTTCTGTAAGTACATTTCTAAAATGTTAACTATGAATACAACTGCTGTTCAACACAACTTTTTGTCCTTCTACAGGTTTGGAAAAGATATTTTTTATTTGTAATCAATCCAAGCATTCCAAAAGGGGACTATTAAGCTGATACAGGATTATCAAATATAAAATAACTGCTGTGAACACTGCCATCCGTGTGTCAGGCTTCAGATGTCCCAGATCCTGGGTTAAGGACTCTGTGTGGAAGCCAAGAGGCAACAAGGGAATCCCTAAAAGCATGGGTTGCCCTTGCTCACACGGCATTCAGTACGCTCTGCATTCTCTCTTGCCTCACCTGCTTCTATTCACGAACAATCCTTATTTGCCCTAAGCTGTAAGTTCTCAGAAAACTAAACCATGTTTTATACACCTCTGAATTAGTCACACATAGCAACGCGTCATGCATATAGTACTAAGTTCTGAATAAATATCCTGACCTAACAGAGTAATAGTAAAATAAAGGAGTTAGGCATTCCCTGAGAACACCTATTACCAGTTTTTTAAACCAATCTGTAAGATCCTTCCTTCCTCAACTTACCCCTTTTTCACATACTGATATGCCACATCTCTGAGACCTGGTCGGAATACTGATATTCTGTGCCACGTTGTCTTTTGACTGACATCACCTAAATCATAAGAATAGGAAATGCAGTTACAAACGCCAGCACACAAAATAAATGCCAAAAGACAACATGCCCAGCAAAACCAAACCACAATTTGTAAGAGAAAGGAACAGAATTAGAGACGAAAGAGTCTCAAAGAAGCTCCTCTCTAATCAGCTGAGAATAAATGTCTCTTTATTGCTGATACAATTAAAACCCCAGTGTTTTATACTCACCCATTTGGTATGTTTCACTCTCCCCTGACCGCCACATCTCATTTGTCGCTAGAGAAAATATCGTGACTGGGTTTTTCCCTTCTACCTGCCTCATGACAGGGTCCTGACCCACTCGCCCAAGCAGCTGCACACGGTTCAGAGCTGAAATGCAGCATGTAAATAAAATGAGATTCAGAGAAAAGGTCCAGAAGGGGAACAGCTACAAATAGTACTTTAACTCCAATCTCAGCATTAAGCAAAACCCACGTTCTAGAAGATCAGGTGTAACTTGGGGTGAATAACAAGAGGTTGGGAGGGGAAAGAAGAGCTGTCGAGAAGAGAGAAAATATTCTTAGAGAAAGTATCCCACAAAACACACATTATGCTCTTTATTTTATCTTAAAATCTTAGGCTTTTTTTGAAAAAAACTATATGGGGGATCCCTGGGTGGCGCAGTGGTTTAGCGCCGGTCTTTGGCCCAGGGCCCGATCCTGGAGACCCGGGATCGAATCCCACGTCGGGCTCCCGGTGCATGGAGCCTGCTTCTCCCTCTGCCTGTGTCTCTGCCTCTCTCTCTCTCTCTCTCTCTCTCTCTGTGACTATCATAAATAAATAAAAATTAAAAAAAAAAAAGAAAAAAACTATATGGTTAAAAGAACAAATCTGAGCTCTGAAAATCTGTATACATAAATATATCTGAGAATATATATTTCTGTGAAAGAATAGCTTGCACAAACTTCCACTCCCTCAGGCAAACAGCACGTGACCCTGGGGGACTGAGGTCACCAAACAGGACTCAAGGAAATTCTACGAGGCCCCTGCAGCCCGATGGGGCAAGACCAAGAGGGGAAAGGCAAACAGGAGCCTAGAGCCTGGTCATCAGCAGATTACACCCTAACTAGTTAGTGCACCTCGTCTACGATATTTGCACGTTGCCATAAACAACATACTTTGAACTTGGAAATTAGCTATTACTTACATCTTTCAAGGACCAAGCTGCTGGCTATTTCAGACTCACGTCTCACAAACTGATGAAATACCTAAAGTGTAACAAACAAGTAGAATGGCTTTAATTTGGAGGAAAGGGAAACGCAGAAGACCTGCTCACACTCGGTCACCATGGAGTCAGCGGCTCCTACAGCACACATATGCCCAGAAGACAAGCGTGTTCCCCCATCACGGCACCAGGAGGAGCAAGCAAACGCTGGTGGGCCGACTGCCACAGAAGCCCAGGGGTAGACTGCTAGATGGCACACACAGGAGAGTTAACCTGGAATCCTGTTTCTTTTGTGGCAACCCTCCCAACTGTGGTGCTTCTGTGGCTCCACACAAAGGGTTAAAGTCATATATGTGTTGGAAAAAATCATGCTTTCAACGGAGCAAAGAAAAAAGTCTAAGATAGAGACAAATCCGATTCGCTGATAAATACAAAAATGGGACTAGTCAAGTCAGTCTGTCAGAGAAAAATGGGACTAGTCAAGTCAGTCTGTCAGAGGAAGGTAGTACCTGACACAAAGTAGCAGCATTCAGTGACATAAGCCATCACTACTGAACACCAGCTAAGTGTTTTACCTCTTACAAACCAGTCCTTGGAATAAATCTATGAACTATGCAAAACTAGGACCCCTGGATGGCTCAGCGGTTGAGCATCTGCCTTCTGCCCAGGGCATGATCCCGGGGTTCTGGGATCAAGTACCATGTTGGGCTCCCTGCGAGAAGCCTGCTTCTCCTTCTGCCTGTGTCTCTCATGAATAAATAAATAAAATCTTTAAAAAAAAAAAAAAAAGATTCCCCAGCATTACCATTCCCTGCTGCCCAGCTCTCATGTTCATCAAATTCACATGGCGTTACTATAGGTCAGTCACTGAACTCATTCTTTAATATGACAAACTGATACATTCACTTATGCCCCTAAGGCCTAAAAGCTCCCTTCTGTACTGGTTTATTCTTTCCTGAATGGGGAGTAAATTTTTATAAGACTACCTCACCCGAGTTCATTCCCCAGTAAGAAACATCACCTGTTCTGATTTCAACTTTTTAAAGAAGTAGACTTCTGTTGCCCAAGTCTGTGTTTTTCATAGTCCAAGTGGAAGAGTAAATATCTCACATCCTTGTCTTTGGTTTTAAAAGTCATCATGTGATGCCTGGGTGGCTCAGCAGTTGAGCCTCTGCCTTTGGCTCAGGATGTGATCCTGAGGTCCTGGATCAAGTCCCATGTCGGTTTCCCTGCATGGAACCTGCTTCTCCCTCTGCCTATATGTCTGCCTCTGTCTCTCAAGAATAAATAAATCTTAAAAAAAAATAAAATAAAATAAGCTGCTAAACAGACGTGTAGGTTAAAGTGAAGATCCAAATACAGAGTCAATTCTACAGCAGACTGGGGGAGACATGAGAACAGGTTTCAGAGAGGAAATGATTCTTCACCAGTCTTAACAGGATGGGGACTAAGAGAGGTGTTACAAACCAGAACCTATAAACTTGGTGCCCAGACCTAAGTGAGGGAAACGAGTCGTTTGGGCTGGTGGAGGGCTTGGAGAACTAAGGAGTCAGACTGGGGGGAGGAAGCACATCTGCACTGACGGGCTGACTTTCTTAGCACAGGGAGATGGGGTGGAAAGCTGAGGGCCGGGGAGGCCAGTGGTCAAAAAAGGAACCCCATGGGCAGCCCGGGTGGCTCAGCAGTTGAGCACCAGCCTTCAGCCCAGGGCGTGATCCTGGAGACCGGGATCAAGTCCCGTGTCGGGCTCCCTGCACGGAGCGTGCTTCTCCCTCTCCCTGTATCTCCCATGAATAAATAAATAAAATCTTTAAAAAAAAAAAAAAAAAAAAAAAGGAACCGCATGCCTCAGAGAAGAATGCTGGAAATGACTCTCCTAGTCTTTAGCTCACGCAAGACACTAAAGGCTCTGTAACCGATGTAAACGCAAGTTACGTGTTTTTAAAAAATTGACTCCCCCCCCAAAAAAAAATAAATAAAAAATAAAACAAAAATAAAAAATTGACTCCCGTTATATAGGCAAGCTGGAAAATCTTTGTTGTCCTTGAGAACAGCATTTACTCAGGTGAGATCCTCGTAGGTCCTTCGCCTACCGAGGTCAAAACCCTGAAGAAGCCTCGTCACCTGTGCTGGACGAGAACGCATCTCAACACCATCACGGAGAAGCGACTGATTACCTGTAATACGGGTCTTCGAAACATGGCTTCTATTTGCTTTTCCTACAGTGTAGTGTGTGGTCTCCCCCTGGAAAAGAGAGAGAGAGAGAGAGAGAGAGAGAGAGAGAGATGTTACTTAGAGCAAGAGCACAAACCCACTAACCCTAACGTCCCGACTGCATTCCTAATTTTACGCAGTCCCCCTGGCGACCATAAACATCCCTGCGCATTTTACCAGGACTCTCCCTCTCAAATGATGGAAAAAAAAAAAAAAAAGTCTAAGTCGTTTTTACTCCCTTGCTTCTTCCTCTAACTCCTACCAAAAAAAAAAAACAAAAAAAAAAACTGATTTTTTTTTTCCCCATTCGCATTCCACGGTCTTCTCAAATTCCAGCAAAATGCAAGCCCCCTTGGACTCCCAATTAAAAAAAATATATATGTAAAAAAATAAAAATGCAAAAAAATAAAAATGCAAGCCCCCCCCCCTTCCCAGGGCTGATTTATATTGACTGCCACATCCAACACTCCTAAGTTTGTTCCTGACCCATAGTGGAGGCCCAACAAGTGTGACAACGTCACCAAGGGACGTAAATCTGAAACCTGGAGCTGCTAAAATCACTGCCTTCCATCCCGGGGCAAAGCCCACGGAGACCCCGGGACCCCCCGCCCCGGCCTCCCCGCAGGGACGGGCGGGTCCCCTTCCCACAGGTGGCGCTCCTAACCCACCCCGTAAGAGGGCCTGGGCAGTGACAGAAAACCCTGAAGTCCTCCGCACGGGGGAGAAGACGAGCCGAGACACACACAGAGCAGCCGCAGCACCTCGTCGCCATCCGCGGAGAGCCGCACGCACACCCAGCAGCGACGAGCTCCCGGCTGGCCCCCGTCCCGCACCGGAAGCTCCCGCGGGTTCAGCGTCCCCGCCACAAGCACTTCCGGGGACAGGGAGAACGCACGCCTCGCGAGAGGAATGAGAACGCGGAACGGCGGCGGCGTGCGTCGTAGAAACGCTCCGGGCAACGCTTCCGGAAGCGAGCGTCGTAACGCGGTAGTTCCGCCAGCTTTTTTTTTTTTTTTTTTTTTCCCTCCGGGCGGGCGGAAGCGGATGAGGCAACGCCGCCGAGCGGTGAGTAGCGGAAGTGATTTCAAGTTTCTAATAAAATGAAATGATTGGACAAGCTTCCCCTGTGGCCCAGGAGGGAGCGAGAGGTGGGCGAGGGCAAAGGATGCTCGGCCTGCGCGGGGGGGGGGCCTGCGCGGGGGGCCTGCAGCGGGGAAACCAGGGGGAGGAAGTCGAGCTGAGAAAGGAGAAATTAATGGGATGCGAAAAAAAAAAAAAAAAAAGATTGGCGATCAAAATAATATTTTAGGAAGAGTCAGGGTAAGATTTTTAAGAATGTTAGTTCAAAAAAGAAATCTGTGATGAACAAAAAAAAAAAAAATCAAAAAAAATTTTTTTCAAAAAAATCAAAATTTTAATTAAATTCTGAGCCATATTGAATCCTGAGGCACAAGAGGGGGAAAAAAAATGTTCGTTTTCACATATACCTCCCCCACCAAAAAAAAAAAAAAAAAAAATTGGCGATCAAAATAATATTTTAGGAAGAGTCAGGGTAAGATTTTTAAGAATGTTAGTTCAAAAAAGAAATCTGTGATGAACAAAAAAAAAAAAAATCAAAAAAAATTTTTTTCAAAAAAATCAAAATTTTAATTAAATTCTGAGCCATATTGAATCCTGAGGCACAAGAGGGGGAAAAAAAATGTTCATTTTCACATATACCTCCCCACCAAAAAAAAAAAAATTGGCGATCACAATAATATTTTAGGAAGAGTCAGGGTAAGATTTTTAAGAATGTTAGTTCAAAAAAGAAATCTGTGATGAACAAAAAAAAAAAAATCAAAAAAAATTTTTTTCAAAAAAATCAAAATTTTAATTAAATTCTGAGCCATATTGAATCCTGAGGCACAAGAGGGGAAAAAAAAATGTTCGTTTTCACATATACCTCCCCCACCAAAAAAAAAAAAAAATTGGCGATCACAATAATATTTTAGGAAGAGTCAGGGTAAGATTTTTAAGAATGTTAGTTCAAAAAAGAAATCTGTGATGAACAAAAAAAAAAAAAATCAAAAAAAATTTTTTTCAAAAAAATCAAAATTTTAATTAAATTCTGAGCCATATTGAATCCTGAGGCACAAGAGGGGGAAAAAAAATGTTCATTTTCACATATACCTCCCCCACCAAAAAAAAAAAAATTGGCGATCACAATAATATTTTAGGAAGAGTCAGGGTAAGATTTTTAAGAATGTTAGTTCAAAAAAGAAATCTGTGATGAACAAAAAAAAAAAATCAAAAAAAATTTTTTTCAAAAAAATCAAAATTTTAATTAAATTCTGAGCCATATTGAATCCTGAGGCACAAGAGGGGGAAAAAAAATGTTCGTTTTCACATATACCTCCCCCACCAAAAAAAAAAAAAATTGGCGATCAAAATAATATTTTAGGAAGAGTCAGGGTAAGATTTTTAAGAATGTTAGTTCAAAAAAGAAATCTGTGATGAACAAAAAAAAAAAAATCAAAAAAAAATTTAAAAAAAAATCAATTTTAATTAAATTCTGAGCCATATTGAATCCTGAGGCACAAGAGGGGGAAAAAAATGTTCGTTTTTACATATACCTCCCCCACCAAGAAAAAAAAATTCCATAATATTAAAATACTTGAATATCGAAAATTCGAAGAGAAGGTTTATTAAAACGCACCCCATTAAGTTTATATTATTTATGCCAAAACCGGAAGTCAGTGTAGTTCTACTTTCCTGGCTTCCCTGGAAGTAAATTGATGCATAATATTTACAGCAATCTACTTCTTATGCTTTCCTTCTTTCCAGCCGGGGGCCTTGCATGTGCGACCATGTCTCTTAACCAAGTTGCAATCTTTTTTTTTTTTTAAGATTTTATTTATTTATTCATGAGACACACAGAGAGAGGCAGAGACCCAGGCCGAGGGAGAAGCAGGCTCCATGCAGGAAGCCTGACCTGGGACTCACCCCCTGGCCCCCCGGGGTCACGCCCTGGGCTGAAGGTGGAGCTAAACCGCTGAGCCACCCAGGCTGCCCTAATTTTAATATCTTTAAAATATTGCATTAAAGTGTCCTTGAGCTTGGTTGCTGTGTTTCTTGGCACCGTCAGCCTGGGGCCTGCTCAGCGGGAGGGTACTGGGGTCTTACAGGTTGCAGGACCTGGGCCAGAGGCGGCCTCCCCAGGCCTCTCCTCTGCTGGCCCCGGGGGCCTGTCCTGGGTTCCCCGCCAGACCAGTCGAACAAGCAAATTGCCATCTGGGGACCCTATACCTAGAGAGGTCTTCACTGGCCCATTTTTGTCCCAAAAGGAGAAAATACAGACTACTTAACGTGGCTCCCAACGTACATTTTAACCTGCTCCTAAAAGCCTGGCTGATGAGCTGGTACATGCTAGACGCTTACCTCCCGTTTAACCTCTACCTTCACAATGTTCAGCTCCTGAAACAGCGTGTTGTACTGCCTTCAGGCCTCGCACAGTTATTAATGGTCCCACACCCACCGCCGTTGGTGCTGCTGTCAGTGCCCTGCAGTCATCTCCTGTTTAAAAATCTCACTTCTAGGGGCTCAGTGCAAGTCTAACTCTTGGTTCAGGCTCGGGGTCCTGAGATCCAGCCTCACCTCAGGCTTGTGCTCAGCCCAAGCTGGCTGGAGACTCTCTCTCCCTCTGCCCCTTCCTCCCCTACCTCTAAAATAAATAAAATCTTGGGACCCCTGGGTGGCTCAGTGATTGACCATCTGCCTTTGGCTCAGGGCATGATCCTGAGGTCCTGGGATCGAGTCCCATGTCGGGCTCCCTGCATGGAACCTGCTTCTCCCCCTGCCTGTGTCTCTGCCTCTCTCTCTCTCTCTCTCTCTCTCTCTCTCTCTCTCTCTCTCTCTCATGAATAAATACATATTTTTTTTAGAAAATGTTGAAAAAAATCCTTTAAAAGAAAAATCTTCCTTCTACTTGAGCTGTTCAGATGAACGAAAGCAAAATAAGCAAAATTCATCCTTTCCTCCAAAACCAATTTCCCCCTTCTAAACTCTGTTTACTTTAATGGTACCAACATTATCCCTGAGTTGACCTTTGGAATCATCTTTAAAACCTCTTCCTAATCACCTACATCCAGTTTATTCATATCTGCTCAGCCCTAAATTTATTTCATTATACCATCCCCTCTTTGTATTTGCCCATACTTCTGAGGAGCACGGAAAGGGTTGTTTAGAATTAAAAAAGCAGAAAGCATGCCAATTGAAAACAGCCTTGAGGAAACTCATAACTTTATACATAACATCTTAATCTAAATAGCATCTTAAGCTAATCTCAATTCTCAGACAGGAATTACCAATACACATGTTCTTAGACTATTGGACCAAATTGTATGTGCTGCTTTCTTTAACTCTTAACAAGAAAAACATTAAAATATACAAAATATATAAATGTGGGCAGCCCAGGTGGCTCAGTAGTTTAGCGCCGCTTTCAGCCCAGGGCCTGATCCTGGAGACCTGGGATCGAGTCCCAGGTCGGGCTCCCTGCATGGAGCCTGCTTCTCCCTCTGCCTGTGTTTCTGCCTCTCTCTCTCTCTCCTGTGTATTCTCATGAATAAATGAATAAAATCTTTTATATATATATATATATATATATATATATATATATATATATATATTATATATATAAAGTAAAAATATATATTATATAAAATAAAAATATATATTATATATAAATAAATCTTTTATATATATATATAAAAGACATCATGGAAGAATGGAGTTAAAACATTTTCTTATAAACCACATCCTCCTTCCCCTCAACAAATGCTCCAGCCAGGCATTCTCAGTATCTGAGAATGTTCTCACTGTTCTGTTATCTGCAATGCCCTTCTCCATACTTTCAAAACCCTCTACTCAAAGTCCTTACTTTGTTCTTCCATTTCACTTTCTTACACACTTAGTCTTGTATTATGATTTAGATGACCATGAAGGTAGCTCATCCTCCCCATTGACTGTGAGCTCTTAGAGGACGGGGACCTTGTGAATATCCAACCAAAAATTATGCTTTAAAGCAAGGAGAGGCTTTAGAACGGTGTAGGTCACAGGCCAGAACAAAGAAATAGGAAGATAAAGTAGGAAGAACCCAGAAGGATACTCAAATAAGCCTGAAATTAGAAGACTAAAAACAAACAACAAAAGAATCAGAGACATGGAAGAGTGGCTGAAATGGATTTTTGTAATAGAGATGCCTCTTTCAAGAATCTCCAATTTGCAAGATTGTAGACTCTCTGTAGTTCATTCATGGACCCAGAAAGGGCCTTCTTAATGCTGAGAAGTACTGACAGACAGCAATGTGACTTTAATCAGCTACCATTACTCCTGGCAGTAGTGGAATAATTCAGGGCTTTCATCCTTTGCAAAGGTAGTTGAGAAAGAGAAGTATCTGTCATAGATGCCCAGGGCCACAAAGTTATCTTTGGCCTTGCCTTTTTTCCCCTCTAAATTAGAAAAAGTCTTAGCCACATAGGCATTAAGTGGTAGAGACCAGTGTTGGCAATGCTTTATCACAGATTGTCCAAATCTTCCTATTTCATTGCTATATAAAAACATTTTTTGGAAATTTCAATCCAATTTTCACTCTGCTTCTAAATCAGTTTTTCTCAAGCCTCATAATAACGGGTGGAAAATTATAGCACTTACTATCTAAATGGATTACAGCAACTACTTTAAAATGGCTCAAAAGCAATTTTAGCAGCACTTCATAGTTATTAGTTATTATAGCTATTTTTTGTTAAATTTTTTTAAAAAATCAACTTGACATTTTTATGTAATTCAGGATTGAAATTATGGTTCATACAGAGATAAAAAAAAAAGCTTAATTTTTCAGGCTGAAATGTTGACCTTTATCTTTTAATGTTCATCATTATACAGCTTTAGATAATGGCATCTATAAACTGATACATATGTAAGAGTTTAATAAAGCACAATATCATTCCTTTAAGTCTCAAGATTATCTGTTGGCAACTTAACATCAGTGTATGTTTAAGATCTATAGAAAAGTAGCACAAATTTATTATTAAAAAAAGTAGCACATTTATATCCTAAAATATTTAAGTTCAACCTGTTTAATATTGTAACTCCAATGATGTTAATATTTGATAGTATGACATTTGATAACTAGTTCCTAGGTTACCTTATGATCTCTGTGCAAAAACAGAACTTTAGGACTGAGGATGGGGCATCTTACAGAGGCAAGGGGTCAACTTCAGCTTCTAGCTGAACTGAAAGGGATGAAATCCTCAGCCCAGTGAAGACTCAGTCCCTCTCACACTCAACAGTGTCTGTGTAGCCACCTGCTGGTTTAGTAACTTTGTGGTACTCTGGAGTCCCCCAGAGAGAGAGGGAGAGAAAGCAATAGTCTGGCACCAGATCCACTCAAGTGCTGACATGGGTGGGCTCTGAGGAGCAGGGTCAAGAAGAGGTCATAGACCTTAAAAGTACGAGCGGTCAATGTCTGAGAAGACAAGTATAATTAAAGAATTCTGGTCTGTACATTGCATATGTTTAACAATATACCTGTTTCTAAATTGCAAATTGTGGTTGACCTTGTACTGCAATGGATATGGCTGGGAGGCAAGAGATAAATTAACGCCATTTTAGAAATGTGAATTGAGACTAGATTTTTTTAAATGACAATGAGCAATATAGAGCACTTTACCCCCACTTAACTGCATGGAAATAATTGCTACTCCAAGACAGAACAAAGAATGCTATGATGGTCTATTCAATTTAAAAACACTTGTTTTTTTTTTTTTTTTTTTTTTTTAATGGAGGGTAAAGAAGAATATAAGGCAGCAAAAAAGCCTACAAACCATTAACAGGCTACCTTAATTAACATGATGCACTAGAAGTTGTCAAATGCCTTTATGACAGAAGTATTTTATATATTAGAGCCTGACCATTATTAGCTTTTAGGCCCACAAAGCTGGGCTTTGCAGCCAAGACCTGTTACTACCAATCTACCAAATGTTCTCATCTATCTACTCCCTATCTACTCATGAAATAGTTTCCAACAGAAATTTCTCACTCTTTGATAGTTACATATTATAAAGAAGAGTACTTTACCCATATCTGACTTTGGACAAGATAAAAACCTTTATTTACAAATGTTCTATTCCCTTAAAACATATACAGAGAAAATAATCAGGATTAAAATATGATAAAAATCACAGGAAACAAAGCCAAATTCTGATAAAAGTCAAGGAGAATTTGGTGACACCCAGAAAATCAAAACCAGTCCTAACAATTACAAGAGGGTCAGGGCAAATATTTTGAAGAACCACCACATTAAATGTTCCTTGAACCCCATACCCAGTGTCTTGTTCCATAAGTTAATATCCAGTTCAGAAATTACAAGTTATAGATAGTCTATCTCTACCCACCTCACATAATGGTGAGGCCATTTATTTAATAAATATAATATCAGAGGAAAGGATTGTCTTCAGTGAAAGAATACAGTAGGAAAACCACTTGCTCAAAGTGGCTGAGAATTATTTTAGGAATACCATCATTTACCCCTAAGAAGCATTACTGAAATACATGCACATTTCTTGAAAGCAGTTACCTCAATTCAAAACAAAATTATATTCCTTTCTATGTGCAAGGAGAGTCCCTGTTCCTCAGTAGGCAACCAGCTACAGCAGCCTCTTATTCCATATGGCGTGCCTAGGGCCACTGCTTTCTCTTTCAGTTCAGAGATGCGTGCTTTCCCACTGTGCATCAGTGAGTGTGACAAGGGAAAAAACTGTTGATAGGTAGCCTTAGGAATATATCAATGGAGAAGATAAATGCTTCCAGTTATTGTATCTGGGACGTTGCTAATACAGGGCCTTACTAGCTTGAGGACCTTGGCTGTAAATGCTAAATTAGGAGTGGTTATTGAAATCTTTGGGCATTCAAGTTGGTTAATCTTCCCATTTACAAGAAGGTTGACACGGTCAATATTTCTGGAAGCACTAAGGCAAAAGAGGGGTTGGTGTGAAGGGAGTTCTTATGGGGAAGACTTCCCACAGGTGAAGCTTGAAGACTTTGCACTTTTTCCTCCTACCAGGCGTTTGGTACATCTTGATCCTGTGGGGGTCCCAGAGACCCCAGGGTCACTATGCTCTTCCTGGGGGGACCAGGCCTGCTGGGCTTCTCTCAGTTCCCTGGCAATTAAAGGGAAAAAAATATATATATTACTTGATCCTAAATTAAAGATGATATTTATGATCTAAACTAACATAGATTTTTCTTTTTTATTTCAGTATTTATAGAAACAACACTCAGCTATACACAGAATAGGAAATTAGCTCCTGTGATTTTCTTTAAAAATGGCTGGCACACACATGCCACAACACATGGCAGATTAGATTTCCTAATTCCTACTGATTGGGGCATAAATTATGTTAAGAATTTTTAAAAATACCAAAAAAAAGAATTTTTAAAAATAAAAACTAGATAAAGATACCACTAAAAAAGGACTACAGGTCAATACCTCTGATTAACACAGACACAAAAATTTCAATAAAATACTAGAAAACTGAATTCAACAATACATTAAAAAAATCATACACCACAACCAAGTGGAATTTATTCCTGGGTTGCAAGGGTGGTTCAATATTCCCAAATCAATCAATAAGATACATCACATCAATAAGAGAAAGGATAAAAACCATATGAGATCAGTTCAATAGATGCAGAAAAAGCATTTGACAAAGTAAATTATCCATTCATGATAAAAACCCTCAAAAAAGTAGGTTTAGAGGAAACATACCTCAACACAATAAAGGCCATTGGTGAAAACCCACAGCTAACATCAACAACCTTAATGGGGAAAAACTGAGAACTTTCCCCCAAGGTCAGGGACCCAACCAGGATGTCGACTCTTACCATTTTTACTCAGTATAGTAGTGGAAGTCCTAGCCACAGCAAACAGAAAAGCAAAAAGAAAAAGAATCCAAACCAGTAAGAAAAAAGCAAAACTTTCATTATTTGCAGATGACATGATACTATATGTAAAACCGTAAACACTCTACCAAAAAACTGTTAGAACTGATGAACAAATTCAGTAGAGTTTCAGGATACAAAATCAATATGCAGTAATCTGTTGCATTTCTATACACTAATAATGAAGCAGCAGAAAGTGAAATTAAGGAATAAATCCCATTGACAGCTGCACCAAACCCCATAAAACACCTGGGAGTAAACCTAATCAAAGAGGTGAAAGACCTATACTCTGAAAACTGTAAAAACACTGATAAAAGAAATTGAAGATGACACAAAGAAATGGAAAGACAATCCACACTCATGGGTCGGAAGAACAAGTATTAGTAACATGTCTATACTACCCAAAACAATCTACACATTTAATGCAATCCTTATCAAATACCAACAGCATTTTTCACAGAACTAGAACAGGGAATCCAAAGATTTATATGGAACCACAAAAGACCCTGAATAGCCAAAGCAATCTTGAAAAACAAAAGCAAAGCTGGAGGCATCACAATTCCAGAGCTCAAGTTATAGGACAAAGCTGTAGTAATTCAAACAGTATGGTCCTGGCACAAAAATAGACACTGATCAATGTGATCAATGGACATCCAGAAATAAACCCACAATTATATGGCAAATTAATCTTCAATAAAACAGGAAAGTATATCCAATGGGAAAAAGTCTCTTCAACAAATGGTGTTTGGAAAACTAGACAGGACATGCAAAAGAATGAAACTGGACCACTTTCTTACACCATACACAAAAATAAACTCAAAATAGATTAAAGACCTAGGTGTGAGACCTGAAACCATCAAAACCATCAAAATCCTAGTGGAGAACACAGGCAACTGGGAGAAGATATAAGACAAATGACATGTCTGATAAAAGAGTTTCCAAAACATATAAAGAATACAACTCGACACCCAAAAAGTAAATCCAATTAAAAATGGGCAGAAGACATGGACAGAAATTTCTCCAAAGAAGACATCCAGATGGCCGACAGACACATGAAAATTTGGTCATCATCACTTATCAGGGAAATGAAAATCAAAACTACAATGAGACATTACCTCACACTTGACAGAATGGCTAAAACCAACAACACAAGAAACAACAGGTGTTGCTGAGGATATGGAGAAAAAGAAACCTTCATGCACTGTTGGTGGGAATGCAAACTGGTGCAGCCACTATGAGAAACAGTGTGGAGGTTCCTCAAAAGCTAAAAATAGAACTATCTTACAATCCAGCAATTGTTCTACTGGGTATTTACCCCAAAAATACAAGAACATTTTCAAAGAGATACATGCACCCTTATGTTTATAAGCAGCATTATCTGCAATAACCAAATTTTGAAAGCAGCCTGAGTGTCCATCAATTCATGAATGGCTAGAGAAGAGGTGCTATATATATTTAATGGATTATGTGGCCATAAAAAAGAATGAAATCCTGCCATTTGCAAGGATATGAATGGAACTAGAGAGTGTGGTCAGAGGAAGACAAATACCATATGATTTCAAACATATGTAGAATTTAAGAACAAAACAAACAAGCAAAGGGAAGAGCTAAGAGAGATAAATCAAGAAACAGACTCTTAACTACAAAAAGCAACCTGATGGTTACCAGAAGGGAGGTGCATGGGGGGATGGATTAAATAAGTGACTCTTGATCTCAGGATTGTGAGTTCAAGCCCCACATTGAGCCAATAGCTTACTTTAAAACAAACAACAAAAACTACCTTTCTAGTGTGGCTGTCTTGGACTTTTCCAAGTTAAGTTGCTGCTGGAGCTCTTCTGCTTTCCTGAGGGAGGGCCGGAGAACTCGACTTCTGGCCAGACCTGCTGCAGAAGGTCTCTCGCTTGGGTCAGGGTGGATCATGTTCTGTTGATGTCGGACCAAAACGAAGGCAATAGAAACTTCACTGCTGGAAAAATCTGCCCACCCAATCCAACTCCAACCCAGCTTCTGCTGGTGAGTTTTATGAAACTCTGCTTTTAACTTTATAGGGGAAGAAATAAATAAAAACTTAGTTCCACCGGGGATGGAACCATCATCCCTACACAGTGGCATCCGTCATCCGTACCTTTGACTTGTCCTTATCATATTTTAGAGCTAGTGGGTGATTAGCTAGTCAAGTGTGTTCATTTTAAATGGGAAGAAACAGAGGTCCTGAGATTAAAAGTGACTTGTCCAAGTGACTTGCTTTCACACTGAGGTCCAAGATAAAAAGTGACTTGACCAAGACTAAAACTCAAGTTACCCAACTCCTAGTTCCATTTACTTTCAACTACAACATGCTCCTTTGCAGCTAAAACTAAGTATACCCCACCATGACAGTATTCCTAAAGCATTCATCTTCAGGTAGAGAGTGTCTTAACCTAAAACGACATAAATACAGTAGAAAATAGCTTAACTATTTATAGTAATTAGCAATATCATATAATGGTTCATATAATATGAACCTTCTATTTGGGGACCAATGTTCAGAGCCAGATCCACCATTCACTAACTAGCTTGAGAAAGTGGCTTGACTATGCTGAAACTCACTTTCTCTTTCCTGATATCTGGGATAACAATATTCACCTTTCGGATTACTGCAAGAATTAAATGAATTAGCATATATGTATAACAAGTGCACTGGGCCAGCACTGAAGAACTCAGTATGTATTAACTAAATCTAGGAGCAGTTTACACATAGAAATGGGTAATTATGCTATTCATGAAACTCCACTGTGAGCAAGGGTTTGCCTTGTTTTTTCAGGAAAGCAGCAGCATGGAAGAGGGACAAATCTGTAGCTAAAATTGAAGTTTTCAGGTAAACTGTGAAACTCAAGTTTAATCCCCAGGAGTAGATGCTTCTAAGGCTATTGTAGGGATTGTAACTAATCCTGTTCCTTTAATCATGACTTAAGTCTTATGTATACATTTTGTTTTCTTAGTATGATCTTAAGCTTCTCAACGTTGTTTCCTTGTACCTCTTTCAACATAAGAGCCTCCTTTCCTTGTCCCACACATGCTCAGATGCTACTGAGTACCAGTAACACATAGGTTCCTGACATTATGCCTTTTTCCAATAGTCCAGACGTTGGGTGGTATTGCCAGTGATTCATCAATAAAGTGGCTTATACTTTCTTCTATACACTCAGAGATCAGATTTTTTCATAATATCGCCATTACCAATGACAATAGTTAAATAAAAAGCAAATAGACCAGGTTTGCTTTTAGAGTTAAGCAATCATCAAAAGGTGAGAATACAAGTCCAGGAAATGCTCTGAGCCTAGGTTTCCTGACTACCCATCTTAACAGGGTTGTTGGGAATGGCAGAGAAAAAAAAATTTAACAGGATTTTAAACTAGAACAAACAGGTGTTATAATATCCTAAGTTTCTCTGAGAAACTTTCAATCTCTCCTGTGTGTTTTCTGGGCATCAGGATCCCTTTCTCTGTCAGTGGCACTACCAACATCTTCTTTTCCCTTTCCCTACCTACTTGCAATTATGTTTTTTTTTAAAAAAAATAGACATTTCTATCTTCTCTTCATCTCCTAAGAGATACCACCTTGAGTAGATTGTGAAATTCTTCTGAGAGCTTCTGAGGAATGTCTGGAAGGTTCCCCTCACGGATATGATGCCATTTGGCACCATTTGCGGGTAAAGATTCTGCTCCTGCAGCTACTGCAATTGTTAATCCCAAGGCAAATATGTCTGCTTTGGGAAGGTGCTGATAATCCTTCAAAACAGAAGACAGGAATGCCAGTTAGTTTGCCAAGTGAAGTGAGTCTAGACTAAAGACAACTGTTAAAGAGAGGTTCATTTGAGTGCGTATGAGCCTAAACAGACACAATGGGCCAGGTCACATCTGACATGGCTAGTGGTTTACTTCTAGAGAAGACAGAGGATACGGCACAAATACACCTGATTCACACTACTGTGCCCTGAAGAGTATAGGGCAGAAGCAAGCATAGATTGGTCACAGATATTATCCTTCCGGATGGTATTAAATCTTCCTAGCCCTGACTCCACAGACATCCTAGAAGGTGTGCAATAACTGAAAGCCATTATTGGAGCTGGTCGTACTATCAAAAGGATGACAGCATGATAAAGATGGGCTGAAGCAATAAAAGCTTCCTTTTTGCTTGGGAATCCATGAGTTTAGGAATTCTAAGAAATACTAGAAACAGTAAAGGACCTTTATAAAGAACAGTAAAAATATTGATTAATCTACAATTGAGCCAGCTTTCCTCATGCTATTTTTTGGAAAAGTTTATCATCTTTGATCTCAATCCTGAATAGGATAAGGGATAATATAAATTTAAATTATAAATACATACTTTTTGGGTGGCCTGGGTGTCTCATTCAGTTAAATGTCCAACTCTTGATTTCAGCTCAGGTCATGATCTCAGAGTCATGAGATCAAACCCCTCCCTCATTGGGCTCTGCACTCAGCACTGTCTGCTTGAGATTCTCTTTCTCTCTTGCCCTCTACCCCTCCCCCCACTCACATGCTAATTCTCTCTCTGAAAACCTTTTTTAAGAATTGTAAACATACACTTTTCATTTCTTGCACTGTAAAACAAATAAAATCTTTTTTTAATTATATATATATTTTTTTCATTTTTTGCACTGTGAACCCTCATTTGAGAGTCAAAAGGTTCAAGGAATTATAAAATACTCTGTCTGGGGCACCTGGGTGATTTGGTGGTTGAGCATCTGCCTTCAGCTCAGGTCATGATCCTGGGGTCCTGGGATCGAGTTCTGCATCAGGCTCCCCACAGGGAGCCTGCTTCTCCCTCTGGATATGTCTCTGTGTCTCTCATGAATAAATTAAAAAAAAAAAAAAACACTGTTTCCCTAGTCTTTACCTCTTGTAAAATCTCATTGGCCAAGAAGCGACTATCTCCCTCCTCCACTTTTGGTTTGCTTATTGATGTCACATGACCCAAGTCACCTGAAAAAAAAAAAAAAGGAAAGAAATAGAGCCCTCTAAAAGCATGTCTTTAAAACTGAAATAGGTGAAGTCATCACTATAAATCTTACAGGATAACATACAGCTCAGGGCTTAAGGCCAACTCACCAATTTTATACATCACATTGGCAGAGAGAAACCAATCAGCTTCATTTTCAATCTCCTCTGGGACTACAGGAGAGTCGCATTGCATTTTATGACAAATGAAGATGTTACCTAACAAAATACACAATTGACCTAAGTAATGATCCCTTTGCTTTTTCATCCCAAAGATTCTTTTCTGTGTTTGACATTTTAGCCACCCTCCTTTCTGTGTATTTGTAACAAGACTATCAAGATTTCTTTTCCTCACACTACTTCTGAACAGCTCAGTGATTGAGGATACCTATTTTGAGTGAAACTGACCTCAGACACACTCCATCCTCTGAAGAGGCTAGTAGCCTCAGAACAAAAAAAATAAGCCTGGAAAAAAAAAATGGTAACATCATTTCCTGGAGTTTCACATTGAGTGCCAAAACCATTCATTTCTGTTCACTTTAGTCAGTGCTGAATTAGAAAGAGTATATACAGCACTAGTTGTCAATACATTCCGGATGCAGCCAATATGCTGTCACTTAGCTATGCAGTAAGTTAGAGACCTATTTTCATACTTTGGCTTCGCTGTCTGGGAAAGAGTCTTCTGTCTCTCTGTCCCCTGGGCCCAGGGCAAAAATAGATAAACCCGTTTAAATTTTTTAGGGAAACAAAAGAAGGAAACAGATTTTGCCAGCAAACAGCATCTTCAATGCTTAGTAGACACACAGGCACCAACTCTGACATAGCGGAGAGAGAAAGAAATCTGTTGAGAGGAGCAGAGGGAGCCATACTGACTAGGTTTGATGTCCAGATGCACCATGCCAGAGTTGTGGATGTACTTAAGCCCAAGGGAAATCTGCAGAAGGATGTCCTTGAGTTTCGGCTCTGGGAAATGATTGCCAGACTTTGTGTTTTCAGATATAGCAGTCTGCAAGCTCCCACCTAGGAAGGAACAACAGAGAGCAGCCCCGCAGAATGGAGAAAAGGTATGAATCTGAATAGATAAAAGCATAATAAACATTTAAGAAAATTCTTATGAAGGGGTTTAATCCAACAAGTCTAGATTATTCAGTTTTAGTGTAAAACATAATATTGGCCCCGTCTATTCCACAGATGTGTTGGAGAAGAACTACAGGACTTTTAAAGAAGAAAATAAAATGCCATACCGCAGGTATCCAGTATATGGTTCTATTGCCTTGAGTCTGCCCCAGCTAACATTTTAAAATTGTTATCTAATGATTAACCAGAAGCTCAATCAGGCCTAGACAAATAACTACTGCTGGCATTGATGATTAATTCAGCGTCAAGCTAGTAATTATAGGCTACTTGTAACTTTAATGAAATTGATTCTGAGTTTAATTCCATTAAAAATATCTAACAAAATCAGGATATTTAATGATTGCTGACCCAAGGAAAATATTAAATTTCAATATATACCTAAATCCTATTTGAGCCATAGTATTTGCTTATCAACTATAGATAGGCTCCTGATTTATCATTGTTATAAGTTTAAAAAAAAAAAAAAGGCCTGGACTCATCTGACCATCTGGATCTTGTTTGCCCCTTTCCTAAGGTATTAGAATGCTTCTGAACCCTTTATTTATTAATTTTCATTTACTGGCAGCTTCTTCAGTCAAATTATAGTCTGGGGTCTCCCTGGCAGTTAGGGCTCCAGCCTTCAAGTATCTGTCCAGAACAATAGGATCAAAATAAATAAATAAATAAATAAATAAATAAATAAATAAATAAATAAATAAATAAATAAATAAAATAAAAAAAAAAAGAACAATAGGATCAGAGGTGGTAATGGCATTTTTTTTTTTTTAGGAAATCCATACTTTCATGTATCCTATGTAAAATTCAGTATAAATATTGACCTGTCATGTTAAAATAATTACATTCAGAAAGGAGAATTTCAGCCCTTTTCAGAAACACCAAGAGGCCTAAAGTAAATGGTGTGTCTTTTTCCTGGGAATCTTCTTAGAATTTATGTTTGGAAAGGACATTAGATAGAAAGGAAGAGTGTGTTGAAACAAAGTCACCTGAAGTCTGAGTTTGCAGATGAAGCTGTGAGATATGGCAAGAAGAAGGAAGCCTACATCCAAGGATCTCATGTCCACTGGAGTCCATCTCCCTCCCTAGTAGGCTAGGTGCTCCTTCAAGACAGGGCCCCAACCCATCCATTTTCACTTTCTCAAGGTCTTGCATGTCATCTATATATTCTGAACTGAAGGTCTATCCTGGCAACAGAGGGAAAGGAAAGATGAGACAGGGCCCCCGTAAAATGTGTGGAAAGAGGTAAGCATCCTGGGTGTAGGTAGGAACCCTTCAAGATGGTCCTTTAGATTATAAGCAGAGATGTATTGCCAATTCCCTGAAGAGCTACAGGGATTTATTAAGGGTAACTACACCAGTGCTAGCAGCACTTTTAATTACTTAGAAGCTCTGTAGGTAATATTAAAAGTTATCCAAGTGATAATCAACAGTAAAACTCACTGAAAAGCATTTGTGCAAAGTCAGGAGAATGTCTTTATTTTGCCACAGCTGAAGCTTATTGTCTCCCTCTCATCAGAGGGTTATTAACTGTTCTTTGCTAAATAGTACTAAGGAAGTATGTGTTTATAGACAGAGCAATACCAAATGAACTAAAAATTTCATCCTTACTAATCTCAGCTACACTGGAGTCTTAACTCCATACCCCAAGGTACCACCCGAAGTTGGTACCATAATTGCCAGCATTGTGCCCTAAGAGGAAACAACCAGCTCTCAGCTCTTATCAAATCATGTTTATGAAATGGGTGACTGAGTTATTTCCTTTAGATAAAAGTGCTTTCCCTACTTGGCAGGGGGAAAAAAAAAAAACATAAAAACGTATCTACATTTTTCCATCTGCTTATGAGACCTGACAGATACTAAAATAAATAGCAAATGCCTTCCAACAATGAAAGGTAAACAGCAGAACAATTCAACAGGATAGTTTGCTCATATACTTGTATTCTCAAAATCTTGATTTTATGTTGCTATCTATAGCACAATCCTGTTTTTCTGCTGGTAAAGTTATTCCTTGTTTGGTAGAAAAATATAACCAGGATTCATGGTGTTCCACAGAGGACATGGGGACTTCTGGATGTCACATCACTAGACCAAATGCAAGAACCACCATCCTAGGAGAGCACGCTCTGTAAAGCTTCAGTGACAGAAGTTATCACAAGAAAATACTGTGTGTGTGTGGGGGGGGGGGGATTAATCATCGCAACCTGAATTGTTTGGAATCCTGGTGGTTACACAATTGATCTACTAGGTGGAAGACCTTCAGACTTCAGAGGCTGGCCCACAGGTGACACGTAGGGAATCTTGACAAGGGTGAGGGTGGAGGAAGGAACATTTGATTGGTTCAGGGCTCAGGACACACAGTAGGGGGAAAAAAAATCAGATAACTGCTGGTCTCTACTAGTTATGATGTAAATTATCTAAATCATCTAATTTATAACCTTAGTAAAACCATAACCATACATGTTCTAGCCTGACTGCTATGACAGGCTGGGGGTATAGGGGAAAGAGTGGCAGGCACGAGGAGGAAGAGATGAGCAAGAGGGAGAAGGAGAGGATGGAGTGGGAGAAGTAGTAGAAGGAATCGGATGCTGGCTACTTTGCTATTTTGCAAATACTTAGGACTTAACTCTCCTTCATTTAGAGCCATAGGGCTAAGTCTCAACATGAATTATCCATAACCACAAACAGGACAAATATAAGGGTGTGCTTTATTGTCGATGATCAGTTCACATTTGAAAGCAATGTATGTGAATTACAATTTGAAAAATCAGAATTACATTTTAATTGACAAATACACAGTGAAGTTAGTGGATGCCATGGGAAACAGACAATGATTCCTCATAATCTATCACATCAACTTCAAAACTGACTGCCTGACATCCAAAAGCCAAGTCTTCCCACACTTTACCTTGCTGCTCTTATTTCCTTTTATAGGGATCACCTCCATCCTCTCAGTGTCCTTACTGTCCACTGGTACAGACCCATTCCCAGTACCCTGCCCTTTGTCTGCATGCTCTTCCTCTAATGGAAGTCTTCCCTCTACTTCTTAAACTCTGGTAATCCTGCAAGGTCTCCTTCAAGTCTTACCTCCTTTATGAGATTTTTCTTGGACTGCTCTAATAGCAACTATTACTGAGTTTTTACTATGTATCAGGTATTGACACTGCTAGCATTTGGCATAGATTGTTGCTATTTCTCAAACTACTCCCATAAATAAATATTATGATTTCTTTAATCAATGGGATTGACATCCCAGAGATCCTACAGCAAGCGTGCAGCACTAGTCTTAGATCCAGCTCGGCCTGACTAGGCCCACAGCACCACACTATGCTGTCACCTGCTCACATCCATCTTCTCTGAATGCTTTTTATCCACCTGACTTTGCAGCAAATGGTCTCTTATGTATTCATTGTAACAGAGCAAGAGGAGTAAAGCTCCTTGAAGGACTTACCTTAGCTCACTCTATAGTATATCTCACCCTAGAACTTAGTATAGCGTCACACTTTGAGAAGGTATTCAAATGTTGAAAAGAATCAGATGATTTGTAATAAGATCACTCCATCTTATTCTTTTTGAATAAGATTACTTTCGTTTTGTTTGGCTTTCTTGGTTAATTTTTGTTATTTGATATAATCTTTGTTAGTAGCTGAAATTCATGAAGATAAAACCAATTTTGGGACTGGTAGAGGAGAATAGGGAATCCCTGGTTATGATAAGAAGAAATTAGGAAGAGAAGATTAAGAAAAATCTCAACCTCTGAATCACAAGGAAAGGATCTATTTTTTTTTTTTTATCCTAAGGAGATTATTAGAAAAAAAGGATTCAGGTGAACTTGGGGAAAAAAAAACACAACAAAGTTCACAGTTAAGACTCCAAGGAAATCAGGCCCTAAGGAAACAACAATAAGGTAAATACCAAATCATTATTTTGCAGCATGTGTGTACTATTTTCTATGTTTCTAGCATTTCATAATATTATCATTTAACCTATTTGCATGTATAATGATGAAACTTTATCACTGTCCTCAAAAGTCAGACTGCACATACATACTTGGGGCTATCTGGTGGTTACTAAAATTACTCGAAGACTGTACTATTAGAGAAACTTAAGGGTGGGTGTACATGTTGTTGGGGAGCAGGTTTGGGAGGCTTGCCATTTTCCCATATTACCATAGCCAGAATATGGGTTGCTACTCCTAAAAAGCTGGCAAGCTTCTACTTAATTTGGTAGCACTTTCATATTTTACCAGTGAACATTTTGGTAAAAAATATTTCTGAGAATAATCACATGTAACTCTACGATTTTATCAACCCCTTAATCACAGATTAGAAATATGTTAAACCAAAAGACTACTTTTTGGATTTAAGTAGCCCAGAAAAAAATTTTTTACCAGTTTCTTGTGTATGTCTGGTTCTGAAGGACCTACCAGAATATATCTGAAGCCACTGCATTTCATTCCAGCACCCACCCCACACACTGTAGTGAGAACACTAAAGTTCAAAGATAAGAAGCATCTAGATGCATGAACTATCCCCCAATTCAGGAACCCACTTGAAAATTAATCAAAAGTTGGCTGTGTAAGTTTACCACTCCCTTCCCCCCAAATAGTAGGGTTTATAGCTTGCATGCATCTTTTAGAATACCTTGCAAATGTAAGAGGAGGAGGATTTACCTACTATTCAAACCACTAGAGTAAAAGTTTTCTAAGTACTGAGTAAAATGTGAAGGGATTGATAGCTTCTATGTGTCAGCCACACATCAGCTCTGAAAGAAATATGAAATAGCATAAAACAAATTCATTTTGAATACAACTCAGTGTCCCCAGCTCACTACTTCCAAGCAAAACTGTAGTATTACAGACTTTTTTAGGTATGACTTGCTATCCTGACCTAAACTATGAAGGAGAGGCAAAGATTTTTTTTCCTATAGATTTAAAATTCATCTCCCTCTCCAGATACTACTCTACATACTTACCATTACAGTATTCATTCTGAATGATCATGTGGTCATCTTCTGCCCATGCAGAGTAGTAACGGACCACATGAGGGTGATGCCCAAGCACTGCATGAGCATAAACTTCATGCAGAGCCAAATTCCTAAAAGACAGAGAAGCATCAAGAAAAATGAGTCAAGATGATATACATAAAAATGTTTTTTTTAAAAGACAAGATATAAGGGATGCCTGGTTGGGCATCTGTCTTCGACTCGGGTCATGATCCCAGAATCCGGGATCGAGTCCCACATCAGGCTCCCCATGCAGAGCCTGCTTCTCCCTCTGCCTGTGTCTCTGCCTCTCTGTGTGTCTCATGAATAAAAAAAAAAAAAAAGACAAGATATGAGGCATTATTTACAGGGGCAGAACACTGACTACTCACTGCTTACTATTTTATCTCACTTAATTTCCATAACTACTCAGTAAGACATAGTGGCAGGGATGAAGGCTTTAGAAAGCTCAGTGACTGACCCAATGTCAAGCCAGTGATGATAGACCCAAGAACCTTGGTCATCCTGGAACCAAAATCCATGGTTTTTGATTAAACGGCATATGTAAAGAGCAATCTTCAGTTGTTACTATCTTGATGGCAGACAGGCTGGCTTTGAGTCTTAATTTTACCGTATCACAATTTTTAAAAACCTCGACAGGCTTAACAAAAAGGCCTTGGTAATGGCTATTGTGATAGGTCCTCTATCTTCTCTGTAAAGGCTAGACAGTCATTAAAATCAATGTTTTTTCCACCAAGATGATGTAGTCACAGGGACAGTCTCGGGCAGAGATAGTCATTATGGAATAGAAAATCCAACACACACACAAAGTAAAATGTAGTACTTGATGAATTTCGGTATAAAAAAAATGAAGAATTCAAAGGTCCATAATTTCAGATTCAGCAAACTAATAATACATTCCCACAGTTCACAAAAAGCACTGGCTGAATCTGAAAATAATTGTCTTCTTTGTAAAAGGAAGAACTTCTAGACAATTAGTTCTGGGAATGAAACTTAAATTTTTGTTAATTTGTCCTCGCTTATAGTCTTCAAAACACCGAATTCATTATTGAATTTGTTACTAAAACAAAGTCAAGATAACCAGTGAGTTAACAGTAACTTCCTACTTGGCAATATTTCTAATGAACAGGCTGAAGATCATTCCATAAATCTATTCATTAAAGCAAAAGCAGTAAGACCAGTAGGAAAAGTCTTAGGAGCCATGAAAAAACACAGCATGATTGCACCCAAATGGTCATGGTATGTTTTGGGAAGTAACTGATCTCTGATTAGGAAAATTCAGAAAGTTTATGAATGTGAGACCACATATAATAGAGAGGGTAGCAACAGGCATATTTTTGGTGACATCAGTACTATTATTTAAAATGTTTTGACAAGAAACAATTTTCCAAATCCAAGTGTGCACTTCTAGTACATTTCAAAGGTACTTACTCATTTGATAATCCTGCAACAGGTTTCATGGACCGTTTTATTGCATAAACACATCCATCCAGCCTCTTAATACACTTGTAGACTGTACCAAATTCCCCAACTCCAATTTTTTCTACCTCCAAGAATTCTTTTTCATAGCGGGAAGCCATATTGGTTTCTCGTAGAACACATCTCTGAAATATTTTATTAAAATATTAAAATAATTCTAACATATTGTGAGCAATAAACTTAAGGCATATTCAAAAGTTTCTGTATGTTTTCAAAAAGACTTTTGAGGCCAATCTATTGGATTCTGTTTGTGTCAGTATTCATGGTAGCAAGAACCGCCCCAATTGCTGACTACCTTCTCCGTATTCTGTATAACTGTCTAAACAACTCTGCACTGTCATTTTTTCATATATTAAGTCTTTTTCTATGTTATTTCTTCTGTCTGGGATATTCTTCTTCTCAATAGGTTTTTAGAGGGGACACACTTGCTCACTGCAACAGCTACTGTCCTCTCCTGAAGGAATGGCTGAGATCCAGGTAGAATATATTAAGAATAAAAAAGAGCACCTCCCTTTGACTCTGGTCTACTTAGATCACACTCTGGCTGCTAGTGTTTCCATCTCAAATTGAATAAACTTATTTGTGTTCAATTTGCTTCCTAAAAAAATCTTAGTCTAGAGAACTAAATTGTCAAATTGATTATTTTAGTTTATGTGCTTAGGTATAACAAGCCCTCCACCTACTGGCTGACCAGCAACATCTCTCATTACTCAGCTAGTAGGTAACCCTAGGCAAAAATCACTGAACTCTTATTAGTTTCCTGATCTAAAGTAGTGAGCATCTTAGCAACCACTCCTTGGGGTGCTTTTGAATATTACATGAGAAAACGTGTGGGGGGAGGAGTGGGTGTGGGTGTGTGTGTAACTTAGCTCAATGCCAAGCACACAGTAAATTATCAGGAAATGGTAGCTAAGATGACAAAAATCTCCATGAATTTATATGAATCTCAATCCAAATTAATTTATCTGGGAAGTCATCCTTTCCTAAAGTCCCCGTTAGCAAGAATTTTTTCATCTAATTTTGAGTTTAAACAATCCTGACCCTTACTAGTTCCTCGTTTCAACATCCAATACCAATCAGTCTTCATTAGCAAGATCTAGAATTTTCGTTGCCCTTAGCCAATCTCCAATTCTGTTTCCCCCGTGTCTGGAGCTGCCATAGCTACCAGCCCTCTTTCCATCTCTTCTAATAGTGAAAATTATTTTTGCAAAATGATAGAATCCGACATACCTAATTGTCTCCTATAAGGAAACCAAACTTCTGGTCAGAGACCTCAAGGCCTTCTACCAGTTGCTCAGCCACTACCTTCCCATCTTCATCTCAGACACCAAATAAGCCAGCTTACCATCCACATCACTCATCCATCAAGCCCTCTCCCTCTACTTTCATAAACTGAGTATTGAACACAAGCATGCTTTCATGGTATTATAAACTTCTTAATGGCAATTTAATATTTTATAAATTATAGTTTATTTAAGCCATTATTTTATAATTGGACATTTAGTACTCTCTCTCTTTTTTTTTTTTTGCCATTATAGTTAAGGCTGCAATAATGGTGATAATATTTACAGTATTTTTTCTTAGACTAGGTTATCAAATGAGGGATGCTATCTCAAAGATTGTGAACATTATTTAAAAATCAGTAGATACTGACACATTTAAGAGCCAAAATTTTACATCTAAACTTACAGCTTTATGCCATTTTTTCTCTCTTCTGCCTTTCCATTTTTGGACCTTAAATATCTTGAATTTTCCCTTCACCCTTCTACCCCATGAATATAGAATTTTTCCCTAAATCCAAGATAGAAGCAGTAGCCATCAATTTTACAACACTCCAAGGTAATGATTCAGCAATACGCTTTTCAGGCCTGTCTGATACAGTAATAACTAGCTAAGAATATAGACCCTGATGAGAGTCCAGATCAATTCAGCTGCAAAGCACATTTGTAAATCTACAAAGTGAGTTGCGGGGTTGGTAAGGAGGGAGAGAGAGAAAAAAAGAAAGAGAGAGAGGAGAGGGAAGCAACAGGAAGAAGTGACTAAGTTAGGACAGCTACAACAAAGAACTGTGCTCACCTTGGCAGGCAGCCCTTGTTCTACCTTGCCTTCCCCTGGGTCAGCTTCCTCACTTAAAAAAAGAGGGAGAAGAAGTGATATCAATGTATGATTAGCACCACTAAGCTTGAAACTATACTAGGTTCTGGGACTGTAAGAGTAAATAAGACAATTCCTTCCCTCCTTCAGTTTATATTTTAAGACAGGGATAAATAGAACATAAGAAACTATGAAAGGATAAGAACAAGATATCATAGGACATTACAGGCAGCATAAGAAACTATGAAAGAATAAGAACAAGATATCATAGGACATTACAGGCAGCACCCAAATCATGAAGTCTTTCCCAAAAGAGAAGATATGCAAACTTAGTTTCCAAGAACGAGTAGGAATCAGCTAAGGTTGGTAGTGGGGTTCTGGGCAAACAGAGCAACCCTGAACAGTGGGGATGAGAGTACACAGAGGATTGGAAACAGAGCCCTCTTCCTGGCCTCACTGCGACCTGCCCCTCCCACACCCACCTCCCCTGCTCTGCACTAGATTCTCAGGCAAACCAACAGTACAGCAGAATAAACTCTAACGCTGGCTAAGATATTTTCAGTTACTTTCCAATATGCTGAAGTCTCTGACAAACATCCTCTTTGGCATGAGCGGTTGCACTCTGGATCTCTAAGCCATATTTCAATCTCTAGAGCAGCCAGCTATAGATTTTTCTTCTGGAGAAGCAGAGGATAGAAAATGTAAACAGAGGAAGACTTTACACTCATGGGGACAGATTGACACTGGACATTCGTGACTTAAGTTTAATAATACATTCTAATACTTTATAACACCACATCAAAAATAACAGTACACTAAGTAAGGGAGAAAAAGTACTCAGAAGCACTAAGAGCTGTTACAAAAGCGCCATCACTTTCATTGCAGGGATTTAAAATTAATGGTCTCTTCTGACTAGCTTCAGTGAGAGGTGAATCAATTCTGATGGTTTGCAAAGAATCCTCAAGAGCTAAAACCAATAGAATTCTTGTTAACAAAAGTGGACCTGTATACTTGTACTAAAGTTCTGTTTACTTAAGATGCAGGAGATAGCATTGAGAAAACCTATTCTGGCCACAAAGCTGATTGATACGGAGTCATTGATTCCAAACAAAACAACTCAACCTAACACATTAAATGTTCTCTGTACTTCAGATTGTTAGCTGTACATTTATTTTGCTGACTATATGTGAGCACAAATGACTGGCCCATTTCAGAGAGGCTTTCATCATGTAATAAAGAAGCAATGAAGAGACGTAGTAAAGAAGTGTCCCTCAGTTATATGCACAATCCTCATTTGGACGATTCCTAATATTCAGTGGCCTTGGGGAGTTGTGCAGTTTGGCTTTCTGTTCTTAGCACCTCTAAAAGCAACACTATGTTTTTCTCTTTAGCCAATCTGCCATCACCTGCAGAGAGGTTCAAATCCTTGCTCTATATCTCTCAGTCACACAGTCTAGACTCGAAACAGCAGGATACTCCTTGAACTGTGAGCTACACCTGCCCCAATGGCTAGCCTTTTGTTATCCAGAGACCACATGAATGCAATTCCATAGCTCGCCCACTTTGCTAATGGAAGTCAAAAGTCTATTGCTTACTCTGGCCTATTCTTTTATAGAGAAGACACCTTACAGTACATATCAGAATGGGGAGACACTAGAATCTCCATGACAAAGCAGGTTACAACCAACATTAACATTTAGGAAGGAGGGGATGTGTGAACATGATATCAGTTGCATTCAAGTTGAGTTCTTGTTCCTAATCTTACTTTCATGCTCTCCCCTCTACTTGACATTAGTAAGACCAGTTCCCAAAAGTTAGAGGGGACAGTACACTTACAGATCTCCTCGAGTTTTCCTCTTGCCATTGGATCGAAGGAATTGTTTTCTATAGGACTCTGGAGTAAAGGGATTAATATTGACCAGAGCTGACGAGGTCATCTCATCCACAAAGGGAACAGGTGTGAACCTCAAATGCTTAGAGCCTCTGGAGGGGAGCTTCTCTGTTGAAGAAATCACTGACTGGCTTAGCAGACTCTGAATGAGGATGACAAAAAAGGGAAAATGGAATGAGGTTAGTGAAAAAAAAAAAAAAAAGAGTTCCATATCAGCTAGTTAATATTTGAACCAAAGAATGTTATTGCTGAAAAGGAATTAGAGGTTATCTGGTTCAGCACAAACTAGTTGCATTATAACTGGTCCTTTTATGAAAAATACAGATTCCTAGTCTTCCTCTAGATATTCTGATTAGAGGATCAACACAGGAATCTGTACTTTGGTTAAGCTCCACCTCCTTCCCCTGGGCAATTCTGAGGCCAGCTAAGAAAAATATCAACTCTAGTTCTACCTCTGGCTTTTTATTTTTTATTTATTTATTTTTTTTTTTTACCTCTGGCTTTTTAAAGACTATACTCCAGCTTAGACAAATGAAAAGGACTCTAGAAGACCTGGTCCTTTTAGTCTCAATATGTACTTTGACATCCCCTTCAAGTATTCACCCAAATATTTGTTTGGTGCCTACTAAGTAGCAGATGCCAGGCTGGATGCTGAGGTGGACAGAGGTGAATTCCACCTCTTAAGGGAGGCACAGTCCATTAGTCAACAGTTCATCAACCTTTCAGAAATAATCACTTTGTACAAGAAAGACTATCTAAACATGAAAAGAAGTTTCCAGTTCCACTTAAAATACAGCACCAAATGAAAAGAGCTCCATAAAGTAGAGTAAGGAAATTGAAAAATAATCCTCTGAGCCCTTAAGATTCAGGGCTTTGCATTGGCTATAACCAGCATACCAATAAGTAGGAAAATGTACAGGACTTACCACTCCAAGTGGGGTACAGTAAGAGAACATATGCCTACAACCTAACCAGAACTAAACCAAAGGACAGAGGGGATAGGTAGAAGACAAAGAATTCTGATGAGACAGCAGAATGCCATTATAACCTAAGTCAGGGGCCAGAGAGCTGTGTTATGGTGTACAGCAGTAGACGCAGGGCCATGATATAACCACATAGTATAATCGTTGTACCGTGAGGCTCTTTCTAAAAGAATTCCACTATTTGATAATATCTGCCCATGGCTTTTCAGCATAGAAGCAGAAGCTAGACTATGACATGATATAAAAATGTGATTCAAGAATGAAGATAAGGGCATCCTGAGTGGCTCAGCGGTTTAGCACCTGCCTTCAGCCCAAGGTGTGATCCTGGGGACCTGGGATCGAGTCCCACGTTGGGCTCCCTGCATGTAGTCTGCTTCTCTCTCTGCCTCTGTCTCTCTGTGTCTCTTATGAATAATAAAAAAAAAAAAGAATGTGAAGGTACAAGGAATGAATATTGAAATTATAAACCCTAAATGATAAAAGCAGAAATGAAGGAAACTATAGAGTATAACTAGTAACCTAACCTTTTTTTTTTTAAGTGAAGAAAAGTCATTGCTAGAGTCCAGTTTTTACAAAGGTTTTACAGGTCTTAGAGTTTACAGGATGAACAACCCTGGGGCTATTGTCAGACAAAGCCATCAAAGATAAACTCACAATTTTCCTGTAAGTGGAGTATAGGGCTCAGTGTTTGCTCAAGTAAGTACAACTATACCATATATTTCTCAGTTGTCTGTGTGACTGAGGAAATGAACTTAGAATTACACTAAATCATTCCCTGAGGAACAGTTTTTTTGTGATGCTGATGATTATATGGGAATTAAAATGTGTCTGTCACATCTGAAACAGTGGGGCATCCATACCCGGAATGCTGCACACTCTGGTTGCCACACTTTAAGGACAACAAAAAAGGCCTAGAAATGTTTCAGATAAAAGGCAGGAAAAGCATTCACATCAGGGCAGACAAGACCAGAATTCCTAGTCTGTAAATATGAAGGCAGATAGATTTTGTGAGTTCCACTTAGGATACAGAGAAATATATTAATTATACTAATATGGATTTTATTGCCATAATGGTAAGTAATTGTAAGTAATCCTTTTGGAAATCCAAAAGAACTTGTATTTATGAAAGTTCTTGTTTGGAACAAGGTTTATGAAAGGAAGTTCTGCCTAAAAGTAAAGCAGATTGAAAATTTCTGGAAAGATGTCCAGGTTTAGAGTATAAATATGTTCCAGGGAGTGTAGCTAATTCTGTAAGTAACAGCTCTGTTACAGATGATGGAGGGAAGGGAAGATTAAGGAATAGCTCCCTCGCTTCTGAAGATGGCAAGAGGAGAAGGCAACCTCCCACCTTCAAGATACAACATCATAGTATCTCAGGACTTGCAAAGACTTTAAAGACCCGTTTGGTACAATTAGTCCCCTGATGCTTGAATACTTTCTACAACGTTCCTGCCAAGTGGTCATCAACTAGTGTTCAATGCATTTAGCCACAGGGACCCACGACCTCCTCGGGAAACTCTTCTATTCTAGATTGTTCTGCTAGGAAGTCTTCAGTGACCTCAAGTCACTTCACATGATTTCTAGTCCTCTCCCTTTGGTAAGGCTGAACAGAGTCAATCCTCCATTACTCTGCATCCTTGTCTTTAGCATAACATCACCACTGATCATTGCCCTCTCTCTCTCTCTCTCTTCTGATCCAAACTATATTCCTCATAAAGTGTGCACTTTTTCATTTGCATTTCCAGTTTCCCTCCCAAGCTCTGTTCTTTTCCTGCCCCTCAAATCTTGGCACTTCCAGGATTCCTAATTTGGACCACTTCTCTTCTTACTCTGGCACTCAGGCTACTTGAGCTTATCTGCACCCAAAGCTTCAACAAATTCCAAAATGCTAATGATATCCAAGGATAGATCTCCAATGTAGTTTGGTTTTCCTGCACCCCAGAAACATTTATTCAATGATTTATAGGACACCTCTGTTTTCTCCAAACCTATAAATGCCTCTAGCATCAACTGTCTTGACCCAAGGTACCCTTTACTCAATCAAACAAGGCAGAAACTTCACAGCACCCTAGATCCCTCCTTTTCCCTAGACCCCTCCATCAAGTTGATGAGAGAACAAAAAGCAAGCTGAGTGTAAAACATGAGCTGACACCCTGACAAGCCCCACCCCCTTAAGGTGAGATGGATAGATAGATAGCATTATTATATGTATATATAATGGATATATACATATATCCATTAATGGATAGATAGATAGCATCATTATTATATGTATATTATAATATGTATATAATAATGCTATATGTAATAATATATAATGCTATGCCCAATAGCATATATATGTCCAATAGCAATATATAATGCTAGCATTCCTTGGGCACCAGTAACTGCCTAAGAACACAGGCAAAGTTGAAAAATAAATGATCAATTGATAGAGATCGCAGTCATGGGACACCTGGGTGGCTCAGTGGTTGGGCATCTGCCTTCAGCTTGAGGCATGATCCCTGAGTTCCAGGATTGAGTCCCACATCGGGCTCCCTTGAAAGCCAAGCATGCAGGGGGAGGTCCTGTCACCACGCTGGGTGGGAATGGGATGAAGGCACCCTCCCACGTCTTAGTTTCCACCCTCAGGTCCTCCAGGCCTCCCACCCTTCTAGGTAGACTGGTGTCCCTGCTGTCCTCTAACCCCCAAGGGTTCACAGCATGAATTTTGCTTAAGAACATTTGAGGGGCTCCTGGGTGGTTCAGTCAGTTAAACGTCAACTCTTGATTTTGGCTCAGGTCAGGATCTCGAGGTTGTGGTGTGGAGCCTCAAGTGGGGCCTGGGCCAGCTGGGTGGGAAGTGTGCTTGAGAGTCTCCCTTTCCCTCTTCCCCTCCCAATGCAAGCTCTGTCAAATCTTTTAATAATCAATATTGAAGATATTTGAGAAATCTTTATCATCTCTGCAGAGGTGCCTTCATATGTGTAACAACTGTGTAAATGCCTTTCAGGGACCCACCCTGATTTCTATCAGAAAACCCTATTAATATTTATTGAAGTATAGTCAACATACAATGTTACACTAGTTTCAGGGCTACAATTTAATGACTCTATGCTGTACATTACTCAGCTCTCCCCTGAGAAGTGTAGTCACCATCTGTTCCCGTACAAAGTTACAATAGTACTGACTCCATTGCCTAGGCTGTACTTTCTCAATTTCTGTGGCTTCTATATTTGAGAACCAGATGCTTATAGCTCCTAATATTTATCTATTTTTCCCATCTCCCACCCACTTCCTCTCTGGCAATCAGTCAATGTGATCCATCACATTAACGAGAGAAAGGACAAAAACCATACGGTAATCTCAATAGTGGCAGAAAAAGCATTTCACAAAACACAACATAAAAAGCATAGTGGGTTTTGAGGAAATGTCCATCCACAGAATAAAGGCTGTGTAGGAAGGCCTGTAGCTGACATCGTACTTTATGATGAAGACCTGAAATCATCTCCCCTAAGAGCAGGAACAAGACAAGGAAGTCCCCTCTTAGCCCTGGAAGTCCTACAGTAGGAAACAGACAAGGAAAAGAAATGGCCCTCGGTGTCCATCGAAAGATGAATGTATAAAGATGATGTGGACTATGTATACAATGGAATATTACTCAGCCATTAGAAACGACAAATATCCACCATTTGCTTCGACGTGGATGGAACTGGAGGGTATTATGCTGAGTGAAGTAAGTCAATCAGAGAAGGACAAACATTATATGGTTTCACTCATAGAGGAAATATAAAAAATAGTGAAAGGGATTATAGGGGAAAGGAGAGCAAATGGGAAAAATTAGAGATGATGACAGAGCATCAGAGACTCCTAACTCTGGGAAATGAACAAGGGGTAGTGGAAGGGGAGGTGGGCCAGGGGATGGCATGACTGGGTGACGGGCACTGAGGTCACCAGTGCCCATCACTTGATGGGATGAGCACTGGGTGTTATACTATGTGTTGACAAATTGAACTCCAATAAAAAAAATTTTTTTAAAGGGGAACAAAAGGACTATGGGCTTATTGGAACATTTTCATGTCCATTGCTCAGGCTGCAATACTTACGGGTAGGAGAAAGACTGTCATTTGACTGGAAGCTAGTACCCTGGCGGGAATGATTAGAAGACCCAGAAACTTGATGCCCTCTCTTTATTCCTATTCTTATACAAAGTTGTTTTTCTTGGGCATAAGACAGCCACCTAAGTCACTAGGGTAGCTGCCAATCTTAAGAATCTTATGTAAGGTTTCTTTCTCTTTGGTCTAATATGATCCCTCCAAATTCCTGGACTGGCCACGTGACAGTCCTCCACTCAGAGCTGGCTGAAACCAGTACCAAACTGAATTAAAACCCAACTGAGGATCCTTCCCTAGTGAAGTCAGCTATAAAAGATTACATGTATTGGGAGATTACTTAGATCGTGATGGATTTCTATCTTTACTATTCTTCATCAATGTCCCCTACTGACTACTTAAATTACAATATTATATAATTCCCCCTGTAAAACTTTTCTGGTATTTTCCATGAGTTAAGAATGACAAGTTCTCCATGGCATTTTGGTTCATTCACTGGCACCCATTGGTAGTCTAGAATGCAATGCGGAAGCTGAGGGACACCAGGATCCCTCCTACAAGGCAAGGTGGTGTTCATATCATGTTCTTAGAAGGACGCCTCTGGTCACTTTGACACTAAGAAGCTCTGACATGTCCTGTGTAGGATGCCACCTAGGAGTCAGGGGGGATTTTTGGTAATGGACCTTCTCTACTTTTCTGGGAGCATGGGGTTTTCTTTGGTTCTTAAGGATTCTCCCTTGGGATGCCTTTTAACTCACTGGAATCAATTCACATTGCAAGATCTAAGGAAGAAAAAAGAAAGACTGATCTTCTGTAACATTGAATGGCCTCAGTACTCCTTAGGAAATGAAGGAAAATGGCCCTTTAATGGAACATTAAACTTCAATATGATTTATCAGATCTCTTCTATAGGAAACAGGGCACATGGACTGAGGTACCTATGTCCAGGCCTTCAATGCCCTAAATCGGATCCCAATCTAAGGGCCTCTTGCATAATGTGTCTAATCACCAACCAGGTTAATAAATCCCCTCTGAACATACTGAATGATGATTGTTTAAATAGGCCCATTCCTCGTAACAAACCCGGGTCACTGGAGAAATCACCAGCCAATCCAAAGAGGATACTGGCTCTGTTACTAGCTCTCCTCCTTATGAACCTCAAGACCCCTCTGCTCCCAGCCCACATCTGAACATACCAGGAGGGTAATTCCCTATCTTCTAAGTCTTCCACCTAAATCTGGATTGCATCCTCTTAGGGAGGGCGCTAATGGAGAAATGGGCACAGTTAGAGTCCATATCCCATTCTCCATAGCAGACCTGGCTCAGATAAACATCAATTAGGACAATATTCTGAAACCCTGTTCTCAATTCATTGAGGGCTTTCAACAATTATCTATTATGGTTGATTTGACCTGGCAAGATACATTCATCATATGAATTCATTGTTGTACCCCTGAAGAAAAGAACCATACCTGGGCAGGGGCTCAAGAACTTGCGGATGAACTAGCAGTCAGAGATAGATATTGTTATCCAGTAGAGGGAAGTGCTGTTCCAGTACTGAACCTCCCTGGAGTTACCAAGATGATAGGGAAGGGAAAGACAGGATCATGTGATAACTTGTTTAATGGAAGGAATGAGAAAAGGATTCTTTAAACCTGTAAACTTTGATGAAATTCAGGAAGTTACTCAAGGAGCTGATAAAAATCCAACTCTATTTCAGGGTTGTTTGATAGACACTGTCCCTAAGTATACAAATCTGGACCCAATCTCTCCTAAGGGAACAATTATCGTAAACATGCACTTTATAAGTCAGCTGGCCCCTGACATCTTCTGAAAATTAACTAAAATGGCTTTAGGCCCTCAAACACCCAACCCCCCACCCCCTGCCGCCCAGTGCCCACTAGAGGTAGCTGCTGGGGTCTTTAATAATAGAAGTATGGCCATAGGGAAAGAAAAGGACTGGAGAGCTAAACTGCAAAATAAAATTCAGGCTCCAATATTGGCTGGCACTATTGTGGGTGAATTCCCCACAACACCAGACTAACCAGGGGCCAAAGAAAAATCTGGTGTCAGACAAAGGACCAGATAAGACCCCATGCTGCAGGTGTGGCCAAATCAGCCATTGGAACAAAGAATGTCCACACAAATGCTCTCTACCAGGGCCATGTCCTGTCTATAAGAAAGAAGGACATTGGAAGAAAGATTGTCCTCATCTCCAGGGAGAGGAAGACAGGAATTCACTTCCCTGCTGGAGAGCAGGAACCAGAGGATCCAGCCTCATGGGGCCTTGGGAGTGTTCTGGCTCACTTTGAAATCAAGATGACTCAGCCCCAGGTTACCCTGGATATGGAAGGAAGTTTATTGATTTTCTTACTGATACAGGAGCCGCTTACTCCGTTCTTATTCAGCACTGTGGCCCTACTTGTCTTTTAACTATAAATTGTTAGCATAGAAGGGGAAACTAAAACATGCTACCCAACAATGCCTTTAACCTACAAGTACAAAAATCAGTTGGTTACTCATGCTTTTCCTAGTCTTTCCATCTTGCCCCACTCCGTCACTTGGATGAGACTTAATGTATAAGTTAGGAAGCAGGCTTGTTCTTACTAAAGAAGAGGACAGCTTGTTCTCTTTGCCCTGATATCCCTTCTAAAATCTGGAAGCAAATCCACAGGTTTGGGATTGTAATGTCCCAGGAAGGGCTCTTAAAGCCCAACCAGGTAAAGTGACCTTAAAAGGACCCAACCACTATACTTCATTTAAAAAAAAAAAAAAAAACTGTCCCTTAAAACCTGAGGCAAAGGTTGGGTTACAACCACTTATTGGTAAATTTCTCAAACATGGTATTTTAAAACCTTGTCAATCTCCTTTATAACACTCCAATTTTACCAGCAAAGAAGCCAAATGGAGACTATCAGATGGCACAGGATTTAAGAGCTATAAATGAAGCAGTTATACCTATTCATCCCATAGTGCCAAATCCATATACTGTTCTCATCCAGGTCCCTGGTGATGCCCACTGGTTTATAGTACTTGATTTAAAAGACACCTTCTTTTGCATCCCTCTAAATGAAGAAATACAGCCACTAATTTGCTTTTGAATGGGCTCACCTTCAAGCCTACAGACTGCTCAATTAATTTGGATAGTCTTTTGTCACAGGGATTAAGAGGCAGTCCTCACTTATTGGGGATGCACTTAGCACAGACCTCTGTGTTATCTCCTTGCCTCAAGGGACTACATATAGTTCAATATGTGGATGATATTTTAATCTGTAGTCCCACAAAAGAAATGTCTGATAGTAATTCTGTAACATAATTTCTTGGCAGGCAGAAGGTATCGCATCTTCTCTCAAAAGGCACAAATATCAAAACAAGAAGTGCAATATTTGGATATGAGCTAACACCAGGTCATTGTACCCTATCTACTGACAGAAAAAAAGGCTATATTAAATCCTGGACCCCCAGCTACCAAAAAACCCAACTCTGTACCTTACAAGATATGGCAGGCTTTTACCCCCTATGGATTCCTGGTTTGGGGCTCTTAGCCAAACCATCATATGATTCAGTTAAAGGCCCTGATGAAGACCCTTTATTCTGTGTGGAAGGGCCAACAGACAGCCATTCAAACATTAACCACTAAGCTTTCATCAGCCCCTGATGAAACTTTTCTAAACTTTGGCTTTCCCAAGTTTAGAAAAACCTTTCACTTTATATGTAGCAGGAAAAACAAGGACAAGCTTTAGGAGTTCTTACCCAGAAATTAGGAAATGAAACAAAACTGGTGGGCTATTTTTCAGTCATTTATACCCCACAAGGGTGGCCAGCTTGTCTTCAAGCAGTGGCTGCAACAGCCCTCCTGGGTAGAAGAAGCTTCAAACTTTACTCTGGGACAATTCTTGATGGTGATAACTCCATATCAGGTCCAAAATGTCCTAGAGACCAAAGGCCACCAATGGATAATGGGAGGCTGACTTTCTAAATACCAGGCTATGCTTTTAGACACACCTGAAATAATACCGAAAGCCTGTTAAACTTTAAACCCAGCTATCCTTATGCCTGTACCTGACCATCATACATCTATGCTACAACATGACTGCTCAGAGATTATTGATCTTGTTTATTCTAGCGGACCAGATTTAAAAGATTCCCCTACTGAAAATGCAGAGGACAATTGGTTTACTGATGGCAGCAGCATGGATAAAGGAAAAAGAAAAGCCAGATATGCTATAGTTAGCTTAGCTAAGACCATTGAGACAAAAGCCCTTCCAATAACTACTTCTGTTCAAAAGACTAAATGAATAGCACTTACCCGTGCTCTTCACTTGGCAAAAGGCCGAAAAATTTTTATACTGACTCCAAATATGCTTGCCTGGTGCTACATGCCCACGGGGGAAATTTGGAAAGAAAGAGGGTTACCATTATTATCAAGCCATAATTCCCCGATCAAATATGGGCCTTAAATAATTCCTCTTCTTGAGACTGTACAGCTACCTAAGAAGGTAGCTGTAATTCATCTCAGAGGATGTCAAAGGATATGATCTTGGAATCTAACAGAAACAATTTGCTGGACCATGTAGCCAAGCAGGCAGCACAAAACAAATATTAAGTCTCATACCAATCTTAACTCCAGGCAAGTCAATAACTCCAGTCTATTCAGACCAAGAAATTCACATAGCCCAGGAACAAGGAAATTCCAAAAAAGGACAGAACTGGCTTATTAATAATGAGGGAAAATCTTTACATCCAAAAATAACTAATGGAAGGTAATACAGAGTTTACACCAAACTACTCATTTGGGCAAAAATACTTTAAAGCATTTAGTTAAAAATATATTTGATGGAGTGAATTTAAGAGTTATAATAAAACAGGTTTGCCAATCCCATATGTTTGGGCACAAGTAAATACAGAAGGTGCAGTCCATGCCCCACCCTCCACCTGTTTTGAAACCAGTCCAAAGCCATGGTATATATCCAGGAGAGGACTGGCAGCTTGATTTCACACAAATGCCTCCTTGAAAAGGCTGTAAGTTCCTACTAGTGTTTGTTGATACTTTCACTGAATGGATGGAGGCCTTTCCATGTAAAACTAAAAGAGCCACAGAAGTAATCAAAGTTTTGTTGAGTGAAAATATTCCTAGGTTTTTGCCTTCCATGATCCTTCAAAGGGACAGTGGCCCGTCTTTTACTGTTCAAGTAACTCAACAAATAGCACATGCTTTAAAAATTAAATGTTTTCTACATTCAGCCTGGCATCCACAATCCTTTAGCATGGTAGAGAAAGCTGATCGTACTTTAAAAGGACACTTACTTAGTCTAGAGACCCAGAAAAATTGGGTTACTCTCTTACTAATAGGACTTCTTAGAATAAGAACCACTCCAAAATAACCTCCAGGACTGAGCCCTTTTGAGTTATTATATGGAAAACCATTTCTTACAGTGGACTTGTGATTAGATGAAGATTATAATCCTTTGTTAAACTATTCACTCAGGCTGGTTTAATTCATAAGTTACTTAATGGATATACTGATCATGTGTTCCCAAAACCTGACTTACTTATAACTGAAAGTCCATCCCATGTAAGCCCCAGAGACATGGTTTATTTAAAAGATTGGAAGTCAAATACATCAGGGGACTTAAATCCAAAATGGAAAGGTCCATATCAGGTTGTGTTATGTACTCCCACCATAGCAAAATTAGAGAGCCACTCCTCCTGGACTCATGTACCTCCTTCACAGGAAACCCATGAACAAACTAATGTGCCTTCTTACTCCTGTGAACCTGGAGAAGATCTCAAACTCCTCTTTAAATGAGGATGAAGATGGTTCATACCACCCACAGATTACCTCTTTGCTGTCCACAATGGCCTCAGCTGCCTCCACCTTTCATAACTCCCCCATGTTTCCCTATTGAACAATGTTGACCCATTGGAAGGTACATCTCCATGCCCCTATTCAGCAGGAAGAAGCTACAGAAGATGAGATCTGCTGGGTTCAACAATCTTAAAGACTTAAGGATCAGTTTTGTTCAAGGGGGAAAATGATGAGAGAACGAAAGGCAAGATGAGGCAAAACATGTGCTGACACCCCACCAAACCCTCCTCTCCTTAAGGTGGGATATATACATAGAACATTTCCCAGGCACTAGTAACTGCCTAAGAACAAAGTCAGGGGGAAAACAAATGGTCAATTGATAAAGATCCAGTCATGTAGGACATGAAACTCACTATGCTTTGTAACTGTCTTAATGATTTACAAGAAAAACACCATAATAGACCTATGGGAACCTATAGACTCGATTTCCTGGAGACCTAAAGTCGCCATCACCTGGCTATAAAACCCTATATAATCAGACACTCCTCACAATCACAGCACAGCTCTTTCTGCCCACAGGTCCTGTCCCCCTGCTAGAATAAAAATACCTTTTTGCACCTTAAAACGTCTCAAGAATTCTTTCTTGCCCATTGGGCTTGACAATCCTGCAAAGTCATTTTGCAAATCCTAACCATCCCTCAATTTATCACTGTGTACCACCAATGTAGTTTAGATCTTTCTCCTTTGTCAACAGATCTGCTATGAATACTGCTCTGCTTTCAGGGTCTCTCCCACTCCAAGCAGCCTGCACATGAAGGTCAATTGTTCCAAAAGGCCTCTGATCAAAACTATTTAATGAAGGTCTCAAAGCTTTCAGAATAAAATCTCAATCTAGCTCCTGCCTACCTCCTCTGATCTCGCTGCCTGCAACTTCTCGTATACAGGCCCCGTATCTCTAGCACCGTGCAGTTTCTAGGTGTGACATGATCTTTCCTCCTCCTAACCTGTTAGACACTTTTTCCTTGGCCTCAAATTCTCATTTGCTTCCTTACCTGGCTCACGCTAGCTCATCCTTGAAGACCGCTCTCAGACTTGACTTTCTTTGGAAAGGCATCCCTGATCTTGGGACTTAATTCCCAATTCTTTCTCATCATGCCACACCACTTCCCCCACACCCCTAATCTGAACTTTATTGTCTCAGTTGTTCATCTTCCTTCATTTTAAGGACACTTTTTGACACAGTGAATCATTTGCCAGCAGAAGGTCTGATATCAAGGTGCTCCATTTTAAATGAATGAATGAAATAGACATACCGTGACATGCTTCCTTGTCTGCGTACCCTTGCTCAGAGACACACTCTTTCAGCCCACTCTCTCACTAATCTACATACACCAAAACCATTCTCGAAACACCTATCACATAGTGTCTATAGATACATCCCCGGTCTTTCTGCTGATTATAAAGCACTTTGAGGGCAGAAACCATGTCTTGTGTTCCTTGTTCACATTGGGTTCTCAAAAAATAAATGGATGATTGATTGGTTGGCGTTGGGACGATTGGAAAATCCACGGATGGACACACAGGCATTGTAAAGTAGTTTGTCTACAATACAGACAAGAAGCCTGGTACTTCCTAGTGGATGTGGTGTGCATACTCAGCAGGAACAAAAGCGGCCTGCTGACAGTGACTGTGTCTGCAATCAGAAGCACAGATGTTGTTATGACGGCATGAGTACCTCAAGCTGAGCCAGCAAAAAGCAGAGCTAATGCCAGTCCTGGAGCTCACATACCATGGCATGAGGTTGTCAGAGGTAACGATGGCCTTCCATGGCCTTAATAATGTGTAGATACAATATAAGAATAATCACGACAAGAATAAAGGACTAAACTAACTACTTGGGACCTTAGCCTATTTGTCATCCTCAGCTTATAAAGAAGTATCACCAAGTTAACTTTTGATCACCTATAATGGAAGAGCCTATCCCTCACCAGACTGAGGAATGGGGAGGACTTCCTTCTGGGAAGAGCAGCGGCAAAGGTATGTGAATATGTTCAAACAGTGAAGGTGAACATTCTTATATTAGGAAATATTAGTAGATAATTACGTAAGAGTAGAGCCAATTGGCGTAATGGAGAGAACAGCAGACTGAGACCAAAAGATCAGGTTTCTAGTCCTGCCTCTGCCATTGGCTGAGCCAAAAGCCAGTGTATCTCTTTGAACCTCGGATTTTCTCACATGCAGAATGCATAACAGGGCTCCAGATCTCAATCATCCTTCCAATTCCAATATTCTTTAACTAGGATTTTTCCCCCACCAAGATTTATTTGTGACCTACACCAAACAGTTGCTGACATCAACAATTTTGAGAAGACAGCTAGCAAGGCACGTAGTTCTACTTTCTGATAACTTGAAACTTTTCTTCATTTTCACCGACAAATACGTAATTAAGGACATGCATAGCCCATGAGGCAAATGGGTCAGATACACATAAAGGACCGTGTCCTGCTTCTCCATCAGCTGAACTAGAACACAGATCTTGGCAACCTGGGTCCCCTTGCCCCAAGACTTACTTACTTTGGGAGTGTAGGGGCTCTCGCAATGCACCACCTCGCTCCTGCTGTCTGGCTGGGCTGGTGTCCCAGGACATTTGTGAAAGCCTGGCCCTGGAGTCCTCAAAGCCTGATCTGGACTCATCTTGTCTTTTTCCTCAAATGTGCCCACTCCATGGATGCTACTGGAGGGAGTCCTGGGAGGTGTGAACTTTGCCTCTGACTCCTGGCCTTCAGCCCTGTCTGGGGTTTGACTCTGGGTCTCCCTGCTTTCTGGTGCCTCCTTCTGCCCCTCACTCTCGCTCTCTTCTTCACAGTAGGAAACGTTCAACTTCTGCTTTAGTTCTTTGTTAATACTGCTGTCATCCATCTCAGCCGGAGAGATTGACAGCACCAGTGAGAAGGCCTATCGGAGGGGAGCCCTGTAGAGCTCCAGAGGAGGAGAGGACACTGTAAGCTGGCAAATCCCCCAGTGTTAGCCTGCCTCTCCCTCTGCCCACTAACAGCTATGCCGAGGCGCAGCATTAGTTTGCTCCCTTAAGTACCCCATATATGTAAGACCTCAGCTTATCCTCATTTCCAGCCTGATTGAAGAAAGCTCCAGCGACTCTCGGAGCAATTAAATCCAATTCACGTATAGAACTCTTCTGGATATCCCACATAGTCTCCCTGAACCCACGTGCTGTAAAAATCAGGGTGAGATAGTTGGATTCCTTTAATTCTGTATGGCTTTAAAAATACCCATTAGCCATTTCAGAAACAAGCTCATTATTGGGAAGATATTCTTTCCAGTCTTTTCTACCTACCGTTAAGAAATACCACACTCTCCTGTCTCCCCCACCCACCCGTGGCTAACAGCGGTTAACTAGAACTCAGCATCACCAGGGTATCATAATCATCCTTAAACAGCCACTAACTTCTCTTGGCTGGAGTTCCTCTCCCCAGCAGGGAGACACCTGAGATTTCTGCCAGACACACCTGCTATAATTCAGGCATCTCACACCCTCCACCCGCCCCCCCCCCCCCCCGTATCAGCAGTTAAAACTTTTAGGGAATAGGACAAATTTCTAAACTGACAAAGAAAAGATGAGTGACACATAGAAGCCGGTATGTATCATTTGAAAACAGAAATTACTTTGCCCCCAAATGCCTTATTTTGTAATCTTTAATTTTTTAAAAATAATTTATTTATTCATGAGAGACACAGAGAGGGAGAAGCAGAGACACAGGCAGAGGGAGAAGCACACCCCATGCATTGAGCCCGATGTGGGACTTGATCCCAAGACCCCGGGATCATGACCTGAGCCACCCAGGCATCTTTTGTAATTTTTTTTTTTTTTTTTTTACTGTTAACCTACATTATTAAATTTCTTTCTTGGAGGGGCCCCTTGAGAAGAGTAAAAAACTCTTTGAATAAAAAAAAAAAGTCACCGATACCACTTTGTAGGAGAAACCATGTGAAAGGTCATCCACGGAATAGGAAAATGATATACATGAGCCTTCTTGTACCTTCAGGGGAGACCCTGGAGGTACTGGACACGTGAAATTATGTACCTGATAGACGTGGGCCGAAGAGAGGTGCTGAGGATGGTTTGATCTTGGCTGAAACAAAGTTAATTTCTCTTCTCTTACACTCTTTGGTTACTCGTTGCCCATCACCAGTCTTCCGTTTCCTCCCCTTCAATCCCTCCAGTCCTTTCTCCTTTCTCAATCTTTCCCATCTCTGACCTGAGCTCATGAGGATGTTAATCCACATGAAAACTAACTGGGAGGATGTAAAAGTAACTTTTTCAGCTAAAAGGCTTCTCATGCTCCTGCTTTTTACAGGTGTACACACCACTGGATCCTTCCCTTGACCTTCCCTAGCCCATCCCGCCGGTGCCGACCTTCCCAAATCATTCCACAGGGACATCACATTGCTCATGGCAGGCACAAACTCACTCACTGCCCACCTCTGGCAGGGTTCCCCCATCCTGCAGGGGCTAGAGATGATTAAGTCATCAACAGGAACAGGAGGACTCCGGTTATAAGTAAAGAAATTGCTGTGAGCTGAGATCCAGGCTTTGGGAGTGAGATCCTTATTCGCAACTGTCACGGCAGGCCAGGTGATATTCCTTGCCGTAGCCTTGGAGTTGACCGGTGTTCCCCTCTTAGGCCATGGCTCGTCCGTCGTTCTTGCAGCCCTAGGCTAGCCAAGCCTGGCTCCGCTCTCAGGCAGGACAGGACGCATTGGAAACACTCTGAACGAATCCCAGGCATGCAGGCAGGGCACGGGGCCCAGTTCATGGGGCCTTAACTAGAGACACCAAACAGTTTTTTACCATCACCCCCCCCACACACACACACACATACTCCCCCTTTCCTCTCGGCCTTGCTAGAATTCTCAGTCACCCTCACTTAACGACCACACCACCTACCTAGGGAGGCAGCTGTGCCGTTGTTATGGTTTGGGTCCCAGGTCACCAGCATCACCAGTGGTGCTTCGGTTAGAAACGTGCACCATTCACCTTTTCGCGTATTGTCACTCGAAGGACAATTGTGCTAAGGCTTCAGAACAAGAAAGGCATAATAACAAGTACAAAGAAGATGCTCCCAAGTTGGAAAGCGAATAATGGGAATTGGGCAGGTCCTGACCTTGACGGCCCAAGGGAAGCCCCGGAAGCCTGCATTTTGCCTCTGGCCCACAGCCCCAGTCTTTGAGGTGTCTTGCCTCACTCTTGTTCTTTGCTCTCAGCTTATGCACATGATGAAAAATTTTCCTCTTTGCTTCAGCTAATACCCTAGGCATCCGTCCCAGGCAAACAGCTCCTCATCGTGAGATGAGGGGTCAAAGGGGAAACACAGGTAATCTGTGGCAGTAAGGGAAAAGGGAGAATTTTTCCCTTAGTACCTGACACGTAGTGAGGGTTCCATAAATTGTTTTTGTTGTTGTTGACTTGGTTTTTTATTTTATTTTTTTAAAAGATTTTATTTATTTATTCATGACAGGTAGAGAGAGAGAGAGGCAGAGACACAGGCAGAGGGAGAAGCAGGCTCCATGCAGGGAGCCCAACGTGGGACTCGATCCTGGGTCTCCGGGATCATGCCCTGAGCTGAAGGTGG